CCAGCTCAATTACAATTTTTGATTATATATATATATATATATATATATATATATATATATATATCTTCTAAGTCCACTTTTGAGAAAATATCTGCATCTGAGTTGGAGAAGTTATAATCTACTTGTCAATAGTTCTTTTAAATAAGTTTGGTACTCATGAAAAGAAAAATGTGACTCATTTAGCTTGCCCCTTTAACCAGGTGGTTTCCCTTAGTTAAGACATCACACTATGAAACAAACATGCTGTTTGCTCACTGGGACATCAAAGTAATGTGAACTCGAAGTAATTAACTTCATAATTCTTAATGCTGTTTTAATTCTGCATATACTCAGATGGAATCTTAGAGGCCATCAATAAGCAATAAACTATATTTTGGAGCCTATGATTCCAGGATAACTGTAAGGAGTAGGTTTTTCTGTAATCTTCCATCTTCAGCCCATAGGCCATAATGTGTCTGGCAGACTCTTCAGTAAAGCAGGAAACTTTAAACTGTCTTCTTGTATTGGCAGTTTGTCAGTCACTTTTCTCTGTGTCCTGCAGACTGTCTGGCAGACTCTTCTATGAAGCAGGAACTCTGTAGCAATGTCCATCTTGTATCAGCAGTCACTTTCCTGTGAGTCCTGCATGTCCAGTTTATACAGCATAAAGTCAAACAGTCCACACAAGAGCAGTATCATGCTTAAATGGCTAGTCTTGACATACTGGAAATAACTTCATAACACATTTATTCGATGTCCATCTTCCATCTTCCTTTCTGATGCAGGTGGTGTTGCCAGGAGCATTTATGTCTCACTGTCAAGAAAAATCCTAAACCACTTTAAATGCCATATTCTGTAGGTCATTGAAAGGTTTGAAGAATGCCTATTCATCTCAAATACATCTCTATATACCTAGAAAACCTAACTCACCTAGCTATAAGTTTTGACTATTATAGGTAGCTATCTAAAATCTGTACTAAATTAAACACAATACCTAAACAAAAGGAGAAATATACACATCACAAAATTGACCTTAAATTGTATCAATAAATGAAAATCCATTCCAAAACAAAATGTTCATATCTTGCTTTCCTATTGGCCAACAGTGCTGTATTCATTGACCAGTATAAGAAACATATTTACAGAATGACATCTCCAATCATCTCCTCTTTTATGTCTAAATAAAAAGAAGGGTTTTAATCTTAACATAGCAACATATATCACACAACAGTTATCAAATAAGAATCACAGTTAACAATATTTAGTCCATTAACCCTAACCTGAACAAAATATTTTCTGAGGTGTAAACAGCTAGAAGCAACTTGTGGGGTATGACAGAGGATGTTAAAGTTAATGAGCTGGTTTCAGATAACGTTGACTATAAAAACCACAGCAGTTATTTGTGCAATAATCAAGTAAAATGTTCTTTAGATCGAAATAAATCTCAATGGTATATTATAAGATGAACAGAAAAGTAATCAAAATAATTATCAGTGTCCAAGACCCCACACAGGATCATAAGTATTTAAGAAGACAAACACCTTAACTCCACAATGTCATATGTCCCTGTGTAGAAGAAGTGTGTCTGATATACTGTGTCTGCCAAATTGAATGAATGCATAAATAAGTTAATAAACATTAAAATAATATTCTTGACTTTATGACAATTGTCAAAAAGCAACAAAATGGTTCATCATCATCATCATCATAATGTTCTAACCATGATGGTATAAAAGAAACAGCAAAGGAGGAAAAGCCAATATAGACTTCAGGAGTTGTCTACATGGAAGCAAAGATGTCAAACTTACTGAATTCTTCAGTGTAATAGTTATGGAAAAGGTGATTCCAGCACAATCAACATGGGAGTTAATTAAGACATCTAAGAATGGTGGTGTTGGAGCATCCATGGGTGGGTGGTGTGGTGTTGTCTCACAAAGACCAGATCTGTGTGCCATATCCATGGCTGAGATAGTAGTATCTCCTTCTTTAGACTTAACATCACAAAGACTAGATCTCATATTACAAAGACTGGCATTGGCTTTTCCTCTTTTTTACTGCCTATTTGAAACACAGAGGGCCCAGGTGTGGTGCTGCATACCTGTAATTATATCATTTGAGAGAAGGCAGAAGCACCAGGAATTCAAAGGCAGCCTGAGATACATAGCAAGTTAGAGATCAACCTAGGCTATAAGCGGCTTGTCACATAGAAGAATGAGTGGGAAAGGAAGGGAGAGGGGGGAGGGAGGGAGGGAGGGAATGAGGTACACATTTTTAAAAACTGGTTTTCTATTATTCAATATGTAGACCCTCCCAATCACACACCCAAACATGGAGAAATCTTTGAGGAAGAGCCAGGAGGAAAAGAACACAGAAATCATTTTAATAAAGATCACTTAAAGAAATGATGGTTCTAGAATTTTGTGACAATATGATCTTTATTGTTGTCCACTTTGATACAGTTGAAATGGTGTGGATAGATTTTCTGCCTTGAATGTATCAAAAGCAAGTAATTAGATACTGAAAAGATCCAACTTAAACTTAAGTTTTTTAAGTAAACCCGCCTATGAAGACTTGATCTTACAACCTAAGAGTTAAACAGAATAGAAGTTACGTTATCTCATACAAAGTCAATCAAAGTGTTCCACATTATCCTGATTCTTCTACTGACAACTGCTGTTTATAACACAAATGAACCGTCAAAATAATTTTAGGATGAATTCCTTTCTAGTCATCCTTTTGAAAAACATTATATGTTTCACATTTTTTTTCAAACTATAGACTCTAGGTGAACGGCCCAAAATTAAGGCCCAACCTTGTCCCTTCCTGAAACTGTAATCCAAGGTGACTTAGCTTCTCCATGAATCCATTTTGTGGAGACATACCCACCTTACATGCTTTTCTGATTCCATTCATCATGAGAAGTCATTCCAAATTTGGCTTCCTCATGCTAAGTGACATCTTTAACTCTGTCTTGTGTTTGAATCCTCTATTAGTCCAATCTTATCCATGAAACAAGGCTTTGAATTCTTCAGAGGCCATGCCAACATTTTCTCAGGTCTGTACTTGAAGACAGAGCACTGGCTAAGGCACATGAAATAGTAAGTTTTTCACATGAACTTAAAAGAATAAGGAAAAGCAAGGAACAAACATTAATTTGTTGAGGTCTTCTATGTGCCAGAATAGTATAGCAAAGGCTTTCATGGAAGTTTTCCCTTTCTTTTATTATTTTATTTGTTTGCTTGCTTGCAACCATGTCTTACTATGTAAGGCAAAAATGCCAGCTACTGAATCCAGCTTCATATGCTGTTTCATTTAACCTTCAGAAAATTCCTTATACAGGTATTACTGTTCTCATTTTACAGATAAAATTGGGACTGAGCACCTAAAAATAAATCTCTTACCTCCGAGCTAATTTACAATCTAGTAATGAAATATATTATTACATCAAAAATAGTTAAAGCAATGCCAGTAGTATGTGATAATGCCAGCAGTACAAGCAAGTTCAAAGAAAAGAAAACTGTTTCTTTAGGAAGTTTTCATAGATAGTACCATATCTTAGCTGGACTAGCCAAGATAAGATAATGCTAACAGTTTAAGATAAATGTACTCTAAGATGCTATGGTTTTGACTCTGGCACCCACAGTTCTTTCTCTAGTCTAAGTCACCACCCCCCACCCATTTGAACCCTGCAATGAAGGGAGACGTCATTCTATAAATATGTTTCTCTTATTGGTTAATGAATAAAGCACTGTTGGCCAATAGAGAAGCAAGATAGACTGAACTAGGAGAGGTGGGGGGTTCTGGGAAATGTAGGACAGAATCGTGATGTGATCTCAGGAGGAGAGTACATGAGTCTAGCGTTCTTGGTAAGATAAGACCATGTAGAAATACATACATTAGTAATTATGGGTTAATAATTTATACAGTGCTAGCAAATAAGAATCTCTAGCCATTAGCCAACAGCATTATATTAATACAGCATCTCTGTGTTATTTGGGGCTGGCGTGGCTATGGGACCAGGCTGGCGGGAAAGTGCTAGTAACACTGTAAGGCAATATTTACAGTTTTACAAAAGTTACCCATAAAATCAGAAAAGCTGATTAGCAAAATAGCCAATGATATGTAACATCTGATAATTATTGAAGTTTCTTGGGAGTCAGGACACTTGCACGAAGTTTTTTCTGTAGATTAATTCATTTAGCATTTCCAACATCTCATAATGATTCAGATATTTCAGGAAATACAAAGCTTAAAATAGAGTCACAAAGCCCTAACAAAGGCATAACATGACAATTAAGTGACCAAGACAAGAGTCAGGTTCACATTGATCTGGCTCCCAAGCCGGCTCATAATGACCTTGTGCAAACGCTTCAAGCAGTATGGCTCTTTATTCAATCAAAAAGGAAAAAAAATTTAAAAAATCTGGGGTGAAGTATATTAAGTTCTCAAGTTACAAAAGGATTTGGAACGTTCAATACCATTTGAAAGCTGAAACAAACACAGAAGATAAGCAAAGAAAGCCTCTACTTGGGGTCCAGCCATTTTGAAGCATTGTGCTTATAGCAATCCCTTCCTGAGAGCCAATACAAAGTCGAAAATCCCTGCCACTCCCACTTCAGTCCTATTTGTTGTTTGCTTTTCAATTCCAGCCTTTTCATCTGCTCTTTCCTGGAGCTTTTTTTTTCCTCAGTTGCTCACCCGTCCCTATAAACAGACCCTGCAGACTCAGTCCTCCAGTGCTACGCAGTGGTGGTGGTGGTGGTGGTGGTGGTGGTCATGGCAACGATAAATGGCTGCAACTATGAGGATTGCTACACAAACAACCCAAAAAGATGGCTCACTTTAGTAAATAACTGATGTTTTAGAAAGTATAATGAAAATATTTGCTATAATCCCCACTGACATTTAGCAGCTAGGTCCTAGAATGAATGGAATAAGGAAGGTCAGCAAGAAATAGGAGTATTCACTTTACACATGCAAATATTGTGGTCATGATCCAAATTCCCGAGTGAAGCAGGCACATAAATACCCTCCTTGTGCTGCTACCTCACTTATCATGTGTGAACATGGTGTCGGGTCTGAAGGTCCTTCTGTTCCTCAGCCTGCATCTCTTGCAGGGAGTGAAAAGCTCCATGGTCCATCTGAACAAAAATGGATACGAGGGAGTGGTCATTGCAATTAACCCCAGTGTTCCAGAAGATGAAAGACTCATCCAAAGCATAAAGGTAAGGAGAGTTTTATTATAATTCTTTTTACCTTGGCATCTAAGCATTCTCTCTCTCTCTCTCTCTCTCTCTCTCTCTCTCTCTCTCTCTCTCTCTCTTTCTTTCTTTCTTTCTCTCTCTCTCTATCTCTCTCACAGAGAATTATACCCTCCCAATGCCACCTTGACTGTATCCATCACCTCTGCAGTATTATCTACAGCTAAGATGAGTATCTGCTTAGCTTTATGTTTTTATTACACATTAAAGCCAGTGTTAAATTAGTAACTAGTTAGGTTAGACTTTACAGCAAGTGGAGAAGGGATTTCATAGTTCATCTTAATGATGTTGCTTTTACAAAGTCAATCAGAAAATGTACACTTAAACTCTAGCAGCTGTTGTCTTATGTGTTTCTGCAGTTGCTTGTACAGGCTCAGCTTTGGAAAACCTAAAACCCTTACCTATCTTACCTTAAAGAAATCGTTAAACATTTTTAAGTCAGCTTGTTTCTAATTTTCCTTGTACTTGTAATAAAAGTTTTAGCATCTAGCATATATACTCTATTCTTAGATTCTCTCAGTATCGCTAAAATGTGGCTAAGAGTTATAGTCATAAAATAAATGACAGGGCTGATTTGTCAGCCTTTCATATTTTATAATTACCACTTGGTAAAATTTTCTCTTTTATTATAGTTGATGTTAATTTAAAATTTTTACTACATTAACTTTCAGTTATCAATTCTCTATGTATAGTGTGTTCATTAAAGACAAAGTCAACATCAAGTATAACAATATTTCAACCTTTAAATTCTCAAGTTATATAACTAAGGCCTTAAAAATATAAGATTCATATGTAAAAAAAACTTCATCACCTGTGCAAGACATTCTGTACACAATACATTAACTGCCAGGGCCCAAGGAACAACTAAACATATAAAGAATAAATCCAAGCTGCTCAACTTCCCACCATTCTCTTGAATACTAACCCAGACCAGCTTTGACCACTTGCAGAGGTGTCTTTTCTTCTTTTTTCTATGTGTATGTACTTGCTCCTTGGGTCACCAAGAGCACTCTGTCCTTGTCACACTCTAAGTATAGGAAAGTGCTACCCTCAGCCTCTTGGGCATGTGTGATAGCTTTTTAGTGCGGGAAAACATAACCCACACTTGCTCTCTTCTGCTGGTGGTAATGCATTGGATTCATTGCTGTTGCTCACAATTATACTCACCATCTGCACCTGCATCTGCATCAGCCTCACCTTCTAATAACATCACAGTAATCTCATTCTCCTTTGTCAAAACTGCTCAAAAGGTGGGAGGGAGTGCCGCCACTTTGATTGACAACATTCACTTTGTCACCTTTTCCCAGAAGGATTTTATAATCTTATCCAAACCAATGGAGGCCTCAATATGAGGAGAACAACCAGCTTCCTAGTTGTCATTCACTCCAAGTTGGAGCAAGAATTCAACAATTTCTGCATGTCCAGCTAAGAATGCCCAATGCAACGCAGATCTGCTGTCCTGATCGGCTCTAGGAGCCATGCTCCGCTTTCTCAACTCCTCCCTTCTCCTGTAGGTCAGGCTCAACTACTAACTTAGACTCCTAACCCTCCACTCCATTTTCTAAGCATCTCCCACAGACTTCCAATCCTACTCTTATAACTTTTATAACCAGCATCTTCACTCCCATCTCCAACCTACGCTGCTGACCTCAAGAATGTACAGATAAGCTGGGCAGTTGTGGGGCACACCTTTAATATCAGCACTCAGAAGGCAGAGGCAAGAAGATCTTTGTGAGTTCGAGGTCAGCCTAGGCTACAGAGGGAGTGCCAGGATAGTCTCCAAAGCTACACAGAGAAACCCTGTCTCCAAACACCACTCTACCAAAAGAAAAAGAAAAAGAAAAAAAGGAAAGCAAAGAATGTACAGATAAAAGCACACATGAAAAGAAACTTACAGATTTGAGAGACATTGTAAAATTATTTTGTTTGAAGGAAAGGAGCTTTTATTTGCTACTAGTTTGTGTGTATATATATATATATATATATATATATATATATATATATATGTTAAAGCTAATTTGGTTGCGTGACATTATTACCACAATGCACCTTTAATTTTGTCAGGAAATGGTAACCCAAGCCTCTTCTTACCTGTTTGAAGCCAGCAAAGGAAGATTTTATTTCAGGAATGTAAGCATTTTAGTTCCGATGACCTGGAAGTCAAAGTCTGAGTACCTAACTCCAAAATGGGAATCATATGACAAAGTAGGTTTCACCTTCCTCTCTTAGCATGCTTCCTGTCCCTTTACTGAAGAATAGTTGTATATTTTGGTAAATGCTAATTATGTTGGGAATGAAACTAGTGATATGATTTCTGGGGGTGTAAACGAGGTGGTCCGTGTTTGTACTATCTCTTGTTTCTAGCACCCTTGGGATCTGACTGGGTTTGTTCTTCTGCATTTTAGGCAGACATCATAGTTGCTGAACCTTACCTGAAATATGGAGATGATCCCTACACACTTCAGTATGGACAGTGCGGAGACAGAGGACAGTACATACATTTTACTCCAAACTTCCTCCTGACTGATAATTTGCCTGTGTATGGACCCCGAGGTAGAAATATCTATTTTATACTTCTTATTTCCACTGGGGAAAAGCAAATGACCACCATTAATGGGGATTTCTAAGACTTTAAGAAAAGTAAACATCAAGTAATACCTTCATTTAGAAATATGATGATTATAATTAACCTGTTGTATATACAAATTTGAGAGTTAAATGAGTCATTTGTTGGTTTTATTCCATTTTACCTTTGGGGGAAGGGGCCCTAACATAAAGGTTGATTTCTAGAGTTCTCCAGCTCAGGTTAACAGTTGAGCAAGAAATTTAAAGTAGAAAGAAATCATACTTAAATTATTTTAGCTACAGTTTCACAAGATGACAATCTTCTCTTAGGCAGAGTCTTTGTCCATGAGTGGGCCCATCTCCGTTGGGGAGTATTTGATGAGTATAACACAGACCGACCATTCTACATGTCCAGAAAGAACACCATTGAAGCAACAAGGTATCACAGTGTGAACTAATCTGACTCTAACACTTCTTACTTAATAGCTCTTCAGCTCTGTATTGGGTAGTTTGAGTGCAATTCTGAGATTAGATCTACTCAAGCTCTGTGTATGAACTGGTATGATGTTCAATTTAACTTTTAAATTAAAGGTAGGAAACACTTAGAATATTGAAGAAGTGTTGAGAACGATAGGAATGAGTGTCTGGAGGAAACAGCTCTGTAAGAGAATGTCGTTAGATCAGGGAGGGTGCTAGACAAAACGTCTACCCCTGGCCCCTTTGTGGAGCAGTGTGCGAGTTGCCTGGAGTCTTGCACACAGGCTGAGATGCTCTTGGCGTGGCCTCTGACCCCAACTGTCACGCCACAAACCTATCCCTTGTCTATAGAATGCCTAGTCAACCTTTGTTTCTCTTCTTGGTCTTTCTGTTCCTACCCTGAAGGGAGTTCCCCCAACAGCATGTGTGTGCCTCTCTCAGACTTCTGCTAACAAGAGAGCATGTGTGCACCTCTCAGACTTCTAACCAGAGAGCAGAGAGCATGTGTGCACCTCTCAGACTTCTGCTAACTAGCCTTAGCCGCCAAGGGGTTTTGTTTTCTCCCAATAGAGTAGAAGATCATTGAGACTGTGCATTTTGGCTTGATTTTATAATTCTCTAACAAAGTCAAAATTAAACAAAAGGTTATCAAATGATAAGTACTTAAAACATTAAATAAATGAATGTGTTTCCTTGTGGTCTGTCATAAAAAAAAAAAGGCACATGTTAGTGGCAACAAGGCTCTAAAACCCACATTTACTGAGTCCCTCTACTGTGCCCACAAACTTTTGAGTCTCATCGTGTGAAAGTTAAGCTTCAGGGCCAACCCCAGAACTATCTCTCTGGAAAGACATTACAATCTCCATTATCCTTGTAATACAAACAAATCTTTGAAATGAACTAAGATCATGAAGTATGAACAGGAAGGAATTATACATAGAAAGAAGTTTTTAGAATCCTTTTTCATACTCTACCCCCGTCTCTGGCAGGAATTTGCCAGTCATCTTTGTTGTTATTCCCAATGGTTTAATGCATGAGTTCTTCCAATTCTTCATTCAGTCTAGCTTGCTGTGTTAAAATGCAAACTAAAAATTACTATTCATTTAAAACCACAGAAATTTAAGATTTTAAACATATTTTGACTTTCCTCTCTCGGGTTTAAAAAAAAAATCCCCTGTAACTCTTAACTAAGCTAATCTTTATAATATCCATGTAAATCTGAAATTACTACCTTATCCCATAAGCACAGAGCAAATAGATTTGTTGAAGTCTATCAGTAAATAATGAATGTTGAAGAGTGTACAGTGAAAATACAGTTTTCCTTAAACCTGTATGTTCAGGTAATCATTGTGCCTATTTTTGTCAAAATGAAATGTGTGTGCATGACTGAGCAAAGTTGTCACTAAGAAAAGGATTTCAGGACATTGGTCTTTGTTGCTGACTTACCTAGGATCAATTTAAAAACAGGACAGGGGCTTCAAAATTGTGGATGAAGAGGTGCTTTTGCGGTAGAGGGCTTTCCTAGCATGCACAAGTCCTAGGCTCAGCAGCTTACACCACAAAAGTAATCCAGTTCTTTTATCATAGATGTTCCATTGGCATTTCTGGCAGAAACGTGGTCCACGAATGCCAGAGAGGCAGCTGCATAACAAGGCAATGCCGGCGTGATTCAAAGACAGGACTGCATGAGCCCAAATGTACATTTATCCCAAACAAATCCCAGGCTGCCAGGGACTCCATAATGTTCATGCAAAGTCTTGATTCTGTAAGTACTTCCCATTTTCTCAGGAAGGAATCCTTACAGAGTAGACATATAGTGTCTACTATATGTCTACTATATATGTCTACTATATATAGTATGTCTACTATAATACTATGTGATTCCACAAAGAGGAAGAAAATGACTCATTCAACTGATGAGAAGCTGTTTTCTCCAGCCTTCTTATTAACCTGTTCATTATCTTCAGCTGCAGCACTTCTAATGAGTCTCCTAACTCCATAGAACTCTTCTCTCACTGATGTCTATTAGAGTGCGCTGAATAACAATATTACTTTAACTTCTCTTCCAAGTGGTTATTCGTACCACTCCCAAAGTAATCGAGAATGGAACTTTCATCTGATGTCTAGATTTTCCACTATCTGCTCACTAAACCTCACCAAGCCATTATAAATGCTAATACTTGGGAAATAAATATGTCCTCATCTCCATAGAACAGACATAAAAACAAAAGGTCACAAAGATAATGGTTTAAATACATAGTTTGTAAGGTATCAACAGATGTGTTAGTCAATAGACTTGACACAGAAACCCAACCTGTCATTTTCAAGCTGTCACTGAGAAAACACTGCTAAATCTGATATTTAGTTCCCTCATCTTAAAAATTGAATTAAAATATATGCTTCCCACTGCTATTGCTATGTTCATGAAATCTAATATAAATAAGTTTAAGTTCAGTGCTTAATTCAAGATGGGTAAAAAACATGCCTTAAATGTTCTTATTTTAAAATGGATATTTTGAAAATATCTAATCATCCATTTCTCTAGTTAAGCCCAATATCTTTTTAATTTTTAATTTCTACTTGACATATAATAAATTTATGAGATACAATGTGACATTTCAACAGACAGACATAATTCCTAGTGATGAAACAGACATAGGCCTAATGATTAGCATACCCATTACCTTAACGATTTATGCTCTTTTTTTGTGGTAAGGACATTCAAAATCCTCTCCTCATATTATTTTTAAACACAAATTATCATTAGCTAGTCAGTCTACTGTGCTATTAAACACTAGGATTTATTTCAGTAATCCAACTATAATTTTATTTTAGACTACTAACCAGCCTCCCTCAGTGCCCTCCTTACTCTGATCACCAGTTGTAGATAATCAACATTCTACTTCTATTATACTGACTTTCTTGGCTTCAGTATATTAGTGAAATCCCACAGCATTTGTCATCTCATGACTCGTTTATTTCCCTTAGAACAATGTTCCCCAGGCTCATTTATATTGGGGCAAATAATAGAGGTTTGTTTCTCTTCTGTGAGTGAATAGTATCCCTCTGTGTGTGCGTGTGTGCATGTGCACGCACATGTACACTACATTATTAATCGATTTATCCATTGATGAACGCAGGTTGAGTCTACATTTTGAACACTGTGACTATCGTGGGTGTGTGGCTAACATGCCTGTTGAGTGTCTGTGCAAAGTATTGAATATATATATATATATACATATATATATATATATATATATATATATAGAGAGAGAGAGAGAGAGAGCAGTGATATCACTTGGTCATTTGGTATTGCCATCTTTAGTGTGTTTACAAATTCCCATTCTATTTTCCCTAATAAATAACTTACACTAACTTACATTCCCACCAAGCATGAACATTCCCTTTTTCTAGCACCCTCTCTAGCATTTTCTTATTGTCTTTTTTATTACAACTATCTGGCTGGAGTGAGGCTAGATCTCATTGTGGCTTTCATTTGCACTTACCTGATGGTTAGTGATGATGAGCACTTCATAACTGCATGTATTTCTTGAGATGTGTCTATTGGATCATCTAACTATTTTTAATCATATTATTTCTGGGAAATTTTTGCCACTGCATTTTTTGAGCTCCTTAATAGTTCATAAATCTTTTGTTGTAGAATGTTTGCAAGTGTTTCCTGCCATTGTGAAGGTAGTCTATTTGCTGCTGGTTATTTCCTTTTCTGGACTACCCCCTCTTAACTCATATAAGCATATTACATTTACATAGTAAAAGTTGATGCAAATGTAAAAATACCCTAGATAAGAAAGTACTAAAAAAAAATCAAAGGTACATTATAATATCAGCTTAATTAAAATAAGTAATTTTCATAGACTAACTTACTAGCAACAAATACTACCACAAGTATGGGTTTCTGATAGAATTAAAAATTGTTGTGGCACCTAAGCAATAATGAAAGTTCAAGTAAAATTATAGACTTGAAGTTTTCTTCTGAAATTTATAAATTAACCCAAGTTTTAAGTGGACCTCCCTTCAGGAAATGTCTGACACATGACTAAGGATAGTTCACTTTAACTGACTGAGCCTAGATCAGCAAATAATTCAGCACCCAAACAGACAAGAAATCTCCTGACACAGAGGATAATCAGAACATGCACTGCTTGTTCCAAATCCTACACGACCAAGGCACTTGCCTATGAAAACTTAATTCCCGCTGCCTGTGTGGGACACGAATAGTAAGGGAGCCACCTATATACCTGAAGTATGCAGGGAAGCTAATTGCCCAAAACATTGTTCAAAAAAAGTACTGTATTTTAATGATGTGTCTTATCCAACATAGGACTAGTTTCTAGTTATCATGTTATAGATTAAATATATACTGAACCCAAGATATAAGCTCCAACTCAGGGCATACATGACATGAAATATTGAGTATCCTCTTCCATAAATTCTTTCCCTTAACATTATTCTGTCTATTTTCCAGCTCAGTACTGTGTTAGGAGTTGGCATTGAGTAAATAATTAAAAATAAAAATTTCTAATTAAGTAATTTAAAGAGAACAGAAGAAGTACTAAGGAAAGAAACTAAACCAGATCAGGAGTAGACATAGATGTTACTGTAATGTCGGATTGTGGCTCTCTGAATGAATGGGTGTTTAGCTGGGTTGTGAAAATGAGTATGAGTTTGGCAAAATTGCAAGAGGGAGCAATAAAACAGATTGGCAAAGGGTAGAGCAAGGCGGAGTTGCTACATGCAACTGCACAGCTACCTAAATATTTCCATCGCAGTCACTGAAGACTCTACTGCTCATTAGAGTAATTTTGGGAAGACGGGAACGTGTAATAGAATTTCTTTTTCCTAAATTATACAAAATTACCACTAGGGTGGACGGGAATTCAGGTGAAGGTTTCCGGCATTTTTCAGAGACAGAAAGAAGCTCTATAGAATCACAAATGCATCCTGATCAGGGGGTGGGAAATGGGACCGAGCCTACAAATGGACATTTACAAACCTGAAGTGCTTGGCTTTTCTCCTTAACTTTAGATGAATGATGAGATAGCCGCTTAATTCTCCCAGGAATGGAACTGTACTTTGTGAGGCAAGGACGGGTGAGATGACACTGAGTGAGGCAAAGAGGTTGGCTGGGATGCCACGGTCATAGGAGAGGAGAGGCTTGATTCAAAGACAATGGGAGTGCCGGGGGAAGAGAGGTCGGTGTGACAGGCATCTCCTCACACTTGGAAGTGATGCAAAGAGCTGCTTTGTCCGCACCCATATTTTCCTCCCCTCCACCATAACCCCATTTGGGAGATTTTAATCTGAACCATGTCAGAAAAAAAGCACACCCTTACAATGTAAACATGTTATTTAGATGTTTAAACTAACACATATACATTTATGCCAATTAGTCTGAATCTGAGATTAGATCTGCAGGCACAGTGTTGGGACAAAAATAACGACTGTTAAAAGCAGTTTCTGGGACCTCACTCTAGGATGTTTCCTTTGTGGACACCGTGCTGGTTTATTAGGACACTTTGCCTTCTTTCTACAGGTTTTCAAAACCTGGAGGACTTCCAGGGCTTATAAAAACATCCACTGACAGGATTATTAGATGCAATTCATCATTCAGAGAAATGTCTACATCTCTTACACTTTTATTATCTTTCAAGGGTATTGCTTTGTCATTCATCAGCACTAATAACAAGTTAGATTGCTCCAATGTCTGTCCTCTAGTTTCTGGGCCAACATGGAGATGATGCGGAGCATAGACAATAAAAGACAGCAATCTCTCCTAATCCACTTTTAGGGACAGAAATTACCAGAAGCCATAACGCTCTTCCCTTAAATTTAATGCAGGATGGGAGATCCTCAAAAGTTAAATGAGGAAACAAGAAGCTAACGTAGTCACATGAGGAGCCGCCATTCTTCACTGATGATCTAACTTGAAAATCTCCAAAAAGCTTTAGCTGCATGTAGTGCTAGCATTACTCACTTCCACTCCAAGCATGTAAAATGGATGTCCACACAAGTGATTATGAAGTGATTGTTGTCAGGAGACAAATCCTGTTCAGGATGCACACGGCAGCTAACTTCATATGTGGAAAACAAGTAATCCCTTACAAGCTTTTACAATATCATGTTTGAATTTTTTTTCAGGTGGTTGAATTTTGCACAGAAAAAACCCACAACACAGAAGCCCCAAACCTACAGAACAAAATGTGTAACCACAGGAGCACATGGGACGTAATCAAGGAGTCTGCTGATTTTCAGAATGCCTCTCCCATGATAGGAACAGAAGCCCCGCCTCCACCTACATTTTCATTGCTGAAGTCCAAGCAGCGGGTAGTCTGCTTGGTGCTAGATAAATCTGGAAGCATGGACTCAGTAAGACACCTTTTACTGGATTTCTTAAGTTAAGGCTTTAAGTTAAACATAGAAATATAATTTAGTTTTATTTTAGTTGTAATAAATTAACACACATAAGTTTATACCAATGAAACATTGAGATTAAAAAAAAAAAAATGAAGGCTTAGCAGTTAAGAGCACTGACTGCTCTTCCAGAGGGCCTGGGTTCAATTCCCAGCACCCACATGGCAGCTCACAGCTGTGTGTAATTCCAGTTCCAGCGGACCTGGCACCCAGGGCAAAACACCAAGGCACATAAAATATAAAAGAAGGGAAGGAGGGAGGGAGGGAGGGAGAGAGGGAGGGAGGGAGGGAGGGAGGAAGGAAGGATTGTTAAAGGAAGGTTATAAGATTACAGATAATTTTTTTCTCATAACTTTTAGTTCTACCTAGAAAAAATTTAATTACCCACACACAGAATAATGAAGTCGGGTGAAACGGTGCCTGTTTATCATCTCAGCTCTTCAGGAGGCTGAGACAGGAAGATCACTTACGACCATTGCTTTCAGGTCAACCAGACCTCATCTCATAAAAAGGGTGAGGGGAGGAGAAATTACCCATGATTCCACCATTGAACATACCTCTTCATTCTTTGCTTATCCTTAATATTTATCTTTTTCTTCAATATGTAATTATATTTTGTACAAATCTCCCCACATGAAAAGGATTATGTGAAGCATTTTAATAATTATGTCATATTTGCCATATTTCTGGAAGCAGCAAGAGCAGGCCTACAGGGGTTGAACACCAGGTCCTCGAGGAATGTTATAGCTATTCACTTAGTGTTTTTATGGGAATCCCGACTGAGAATGAGTGGGTCCCTGACTCTTGTGCCGACTCTTGGGCCTCCTTTCCAACTTCCATATGATAGTTTTCCTTCATCTTCTTACATTTTATTTTATGATATTCAGTTGTTATCTCTTAGGAGCCTGCTCTTTTCTAATGAGAGATAGAAAGGTAATGGATTCAGAAGCAAAGGGAGGTGGGGGGAGCTGGGAGGAGTAGAGGGAGGGAGACTATAGGTAGGATATATTGCAAAGAAAATAGCCAATTTTAAATCAAAGGAAAATGGAAAAAATTCTCATATTTAATGATGATGTCATATGTACATGCCATAATTTAATAATTTTCTATAGTTAGACATCTTTGACACATTTCTACTTAGTATTTATTAAAACATAACATTTTTAAAAAATATTTCATTTAGAGAAATTATTTAATAGATTATTAGACCACAAGGTAAGAGTTTTACAACTGTAAGAGGTTTTAAGGTTTATTTGTTTTTATTTTGTGTGTATTTATGTGTGTAAATGTGTTGCCCGCGTGTGCGCATGTGAACCTCTTATATGTCTTGTGCCTGCAAAGGTCGAAAGAGGACATCAGCTCCTCTGGAAGTGGAGGTACAGACAGCGTTAGCCACATCTGGGCTCTGGGAACTGAACCCAAATCCTCTGCAAGAACAGAAAGGATTCTTTGCTTGCTTCGTTTTTGTTTGTTTGTTACATCCCAACCAGAGTTTCTCCTCCCTCCTCTCCTTCCCCTCCCCTACCATCCACTCCTCTGTTCCTTTCCAGATACTGGTGGGAATTCTAACGTTGAGCTTACAACCCTCCAGATGGATTTTTTTTTCCCTCAGACTTTATTTTTTAATGAAATGAAGAAGCTGAGTTTAAAATCTGCCAATGAATTATCATCAAGATCTATGGCCTTGGTGATTTTTGTCGTCCACCAATCTGACCAAGGTTTTTTGTTCTTTGTTTTTTGTTCCTTACAGGGAAACCCTGTCACTCGTATAACACAAATGAACCAAGCAGCAGAGCTGTACTTAATCCAAATTATTGAAAAGGAGTCCTTGGTTGGCATGGTCACATTCGATAGCACTGCTACAATTCAGAATAATCTAATAAGAATGGTCAATGAGAGCTCCCATCTAGAGATCAGCGCAAAGCTGCCTCGGGAAGCTGGTGGGGGAACTTCAATTTGCAGCGGACTCAGAGAAGGATTCAAGGTTAGAACAGAAAATTACTATCATCTGCCATTGGCTAATTTTTACTTTCAGCACAGGTCATGAGTTCCTGGACTCCTCAGTTAATAACATTCTGATCAAAACAAATCATCTGCCAAAAAGAAAGAAAGAAAGAAAGAAAGAAAGAAAGAAAGAAAGAAAGAAAGAAAGGAAGGAAGGAAGGAAGAAAGAAAGAGAAAAAAGAAAACAACAGCCTTTCTGGCTCCCCAGGTCCCCTCTGTGCCCTGATGTCACCTGAGAGCTAAGTGGTACTGGGGAGTGGCCCTGGGAGGTGAAAATTAGTGACCCACTAGTCATGAAGATCTTATCGGGGAGTCTGTCTGGCACCCCAATTGCCTGAATTTCTGAATAGAAAATAACACCTTTGGGGAAAGTGTGAAAGAGGGACCATTGGTAACATTTCAAATACCTGGCTCATCGAAGAAAATTGACATTTAAAATCACAGCGTTCAAAGTGCTCCTCAGGCAGCAAATAACCAAGCGCAATGAACATGGGTGGAAGTTTAAAGATGCTAAAATTGTAAAATAAAAGTTAGGAACACTGTTGAGAGCTGTAGCCAACTGAATATTAATAAATCTTCATGTTCATGTGTTCAGCCAGAGCTAGCCTCCACTTAAGGTCATTTTACCATCAAATATTAAGTAAGGAAGTAGCAAGCCACTTGCTTCACTAATCTCCTTGCCTCAGAGTGGTGGCTGCTACTCAGAACATGTTGTCTCTAATGCATGTGATGCCAGATGCACTATGCTCTAAATGTTTTGAAGTAACTCAACACAAAAAGGTCAGTTTTCTCAACTAGGGCCTAGGTCTGAAGGCACAATTTGGTACCAGCTTTCCCTGGGAGGTCCCGCAAGCCTGCCCATGCCATGCCCATACTCCCGAACCCAGCCAGCTCTTAAGGCACAACTTACCACCAGCTTTCCCTGGGGAGTCCATCCCGCCTTCCCCACTCTCCCTGCCGAACTTCGGGATTACAGCCTTCCAGGATGCCTGGGTCACATGCCTATCCCCAAGTACTTCCTAGGATGGCAATAATGGCTACTATTTACTCACTGTGTATTGGGACTTATGTGGTTGAGGCTTGGAGCTGTGAGTAATGGCAGTACACACTTAGAAAACCAGGCAAATAAAGACTCCAGCTTTCAAAACTTTAAACATAACATTTAGTTCCAAATGTCAACTCAGCTTGTACTCAGAATGCAAAATTTCCCTTTTGCTCACTCTGAGACAGAAGCCCAAGGAGTCCTCCAGGACTAAAACACAGTTTATTCTTACTTTTCATTTATTCAGAATCATTTTTCTATGATTAGTAACGTGGCTTTTCCCATCCAGGCAATAACCTCCAGTAACCAGAGGACTTCCGGTTCTGAGATCGTGTTGCTTACAGATGGAGAAGATGACCAAATAAGTTCTTGCTTTGAGGAGGTCAAAGGCAGTGGTGCCATCATCCACACCATCGCTCTGGGGCCTTCTGCTGACAAGGGACTGGAGACCCTGTCAACCATGACGGGTACGACTTGGGAGCAGAGTTTGGAGAGACAATCATCTGTAGTCTGTTCTGCCGCACGTGTTCTTTCTCCATAAACGGAAAACTGCTCAGAAAATCCCGTCTCAAATTTTATCTTGACTTCTTCACACTGAGGTTCTTTTCTCCTCCCCTCCACTCTTACACATCGAACTTCTCATTTATTCATTGTCTGTTCTCTTCACTCATTCTTCAACCAATATCAACAACCAGAAAACCTCATTTCTCTATGGTTTCTCAGCTGCAGCCAAGACGATTTCTCAGTTTAAAAACACAGTCATCCCCACAGAAACCCTTTGGTCACCCCAGGTTTATGGAAGAGCAGATGATTTGCGTAAGAGACCTGACTACCCACTCAGAACTCATTCATTCCATCGGGGAGTGTTTCTTTCGGGTCCTAAGGCATCCTAAGCCACTTCAGTAATCTCCCAGATGAGATTTCTAACATTTATTAGTGCCATAAGTATAATGAATATCATATTTTAGGCAATCATTTCTCCTCTGTAACCTATTCTTTTCTAGCTTCGTACATGCAGGTAATCTCTGTCTTCCTGTAGTGCCTCCATTATCTATTTTATCATTTTTTTTACTCCATTCTAAACAGTCAGTATTCGATTACCATTGATGTGGCTTTCATCCAACCAGAGAGTAAGCTGTTACCTTCTAAGAACTGGCTTAACAAGTTCTCTTCTTTGGTATCATAATGTATTCAGGCTTTGGTAAGATAGCAATTCCTTCCTTCTTCCAATGACTGAGTATCCATCAAAAACATTTTTAACTCCTGAATTTTACCTTTATTCTTATCACACTTATTTTGAGCAAGGTTTTAGTAAATTCTAGAATTCTACTTGGGACACTGCAACACTAAGGATCTTGAAAAGTAATCCTTTGTCAAATATAACTAAATATCTTAAATAGATAGTTAAGTAGCTCGATGACAGCACAAAGTAAATAGGGTTTTCCCATTTAAAACCCCCTTTAGGAGGGCTTCGCTATTATGCCAGTGAAGATGTAAATGGCCTTGTGGATGCTTTCAGTGGGATTTCATCTAGGAGTGGCAACGTCTCTCAGCAGGCTCTGCAGGTCAGCAATCCCTTTATCTTCTCACTGTTGCAGTAGACTCCAATTATCCTAATCACTAACTGCTCTCTAACAAACAAACCTTCCTTAAAAATGGTTCTGTCATATAGAAGAAGCCTTTCCCAACTAAATTTGGTTTTCCATTGCTGATGCATGCCTCATCTCCTGCAGCCCTTCATTTCTTATAATACTATTTGTATTCTTTATAATTTTATAAGTTTAATCTTAATAATTTCATTTGTTCCTTACCTTTATTTTTTTCCTGAAAGAAAATCTTAATTATTTTAATTTGAGAATCCAAAATTACACTGAATTAACTACACTTTCAAATTCCATACTAATAACATATGGTTCTTTGCATGTGTGTTTTTTGTTTTTTATTTCTGTAACAGTTGGAGAGCAAAGCCTTGAATATTACCGGGAAGGAATTGATAAATGGCACAGTGCTGGTGGATAGCACCGTTGGCAGTGACACGTTCTTTGTTGTCACCTGGATGATTCAAAAGCCAGAAATTATCCTTCAAGATCCTAAAGGAAAAAAATACACAACCTCAGACTTCCGAGACGATAGGCTAAGTATCTTCTCTGTTCGACTTCGAATACCAGGCATTGCAGAGGTAAGTCTACTCTTTGGTTTTCATCAATTATCAATTTATGTTAGAAAACAAAGGCCTCTTCTATGTTCTCATAGAAGAGTAACAGATAATTCATCTTAAAAATAAGCTTAATAGAACACTTAAGGACTCATGTTATTATTTTATAAATTAGATATTAAAAATCATTATTTAGTATGGGAAAGTATCTGAGTAGTGCCCAAACATAGCTTGCATGAGACTCTGGCACCATTCCCATCATAAAAAAATATTATTATTATTATTATTATCATCATCATCATTATTCCTTTTACATTTATGGGTAATTATATATCCTACACATAGAGTAAGAAAATGCTATCAAGGCACTTAAAATATATTTTTTCCAGACAGGTATTTGGACTTACAGCCTTAAAAATAAGAACGCCAGATCTCAGTTGCTAACAGTGACAGTGACCACTAGAGCGAGAAGTCCTACCACACTCCCAGTAATCGCAACTGCTCACATGAGTCAAAACACAGCACAGTACCCTAGCCCGATGATTATTTATGCACGAGTCAGCCAGGGCTTCCTGCCTGTTCTGGGAGCCAGTGTCACAGCCTTTATAGAAGCTGAAGATGGACATCAAGTCACACTGGAGCTCTGGGACAACGGGGCAGGTAATGGGGACCTGAGTCTGCACCACTGAGTTTAACGTTCTCTCCCAACTCTACCTCACTGCCTTCTCTGTGTGCGTAAGAACTGTATTCCAAAGTGAATGAAATTGAGTTGCACTGAGTTAACCCTCTGCACCATGGTCACCTTTAAGGTTCATGAGCCGTTTTACTTTCACTTTGTTCTCTTTTTACTTTGTTACTCTGATAAGTGTCCTGTATGAAGTAAGAAAAGCAGTTATTAATCAAAAGTGTCCCACAGAAGGACTGAGTACCTACTATGAATTACTCCAAAATTCACAGGGTTATCACATGACCAAGGCAAGCTTGGAAGCAAAATGGTGTGACCCCAGGATCCATGCAGTTGAAACTGTGCCACTTTGTCTGTGAAGTCACTGCCATCCCCTGTGTTCACAGTCACAACTGTCATTTTTCTTACTAGATGACTAACTCTTACATTTCAATGCCAAGGTGCTGACACACTAAAACATGATGGCATCTACTCAAGATATTTTACAGAGTACCACGGGAATGGGAGATACAGCTTAAAAGTCAATGTCCAGGCAAGAAAAAACACCACTAAACTAAATTTAAAACAACCAAACAAGTCTCTGTATGTCCCTGGCTACATTGAAAATGGTAAGTAACAATGAAACAGAAATACGTGTGGCTTAGGTCTAATGAATACAAAAAACATCAAAAACATAATAGACTACAGAAAAATCCTTGTAATAATCTGAATGTTTCAAAATCAAACTCAGGCCAGTGGATCCCTAGACTATATTTCTGCATATGTTGTTAATACCCCCCCCCAAGTCTTTCCATTTACATTTATAAACCTCACTCAGCATCTTCTATGATGCAGGCTCTGTGCTAGATGCTAACTCATGTCCTCAAAAAGATTTGCAGGCAAGTATTAGAGATAGGTTAAAATATAGTTTAGCTAGTTAGCTTGTCCATTTCAAAATGATGTTAAAAACAAGCTTTTCTGTCACTAAACATCACTTCAATATCTCCTGTTAATTGACATTAGTACTGGGTAGCTGCAAGATCAACTTACAAGAACAGGCATGAAAACACAGAAACTTACTTTTTTCTTCCTTCCTTCCTTTTTTTTTTTTTTTTTTTTTTTCCCCATTGGTGGGCATATAGATCAAATAATACTTAATCCACCCAGACCTGAGGTTCCAGAAGCCACAGAAGCTCCCGTGGAAGACTTCAGCAGACTAACCTCTGGAGGGTCGTTTACCGTGTCTGGAGCGCCTCCTGGTGGTAACCACGCTCATGTGTTCCCACCCAGTAAAGTCACAGATCTGGAGGCTGAGTTTAAAGGAGATGACATTCACCTGACATGGACAGCCCCTGGTATGGTACTCGACAAAGGAAGGGGTAAGCTTGGCATTGAATTTTAAAATGTTCCAAAAGAAATACCATTATCTTTCATTTGCTAAAACTTCTCCAAAGTCTTATTTATGGGTAACATTTATGGAATGGCTACCTACTTTCAAATATAAAATTTAAAGCCCAAAAGATACAAGTTGACCCATATAGCTAGCCTGTGTTTAAATAATTGAAAATTCTAATCCAGTTTTTTTCAAATGTTTTTTATCAAATTGTTTCTCTTAATTTGCACTATTTTTAAATTAAATGAGAAGACTGTTGGGTTCTATTACTGTAAACAAGAGCAATTTTCTAAACATTTCTGTCTGCTCAGTTTTATTCAAATATTGTTCAGTTACAAGCACAAGTTCTACTTTTAGAAATCAATTAAGTACAAAATACACACAGATAAGAGAAAGAGAGAGATACAGATGACAGATGATACATGGATAGAGATCGATAGATCAGAATGATATAAATAGATGATAGACACACAGATAAGATAGATCCACCTAAATGAAAAACAAGGTTTCTGTGAAGAATGGCTGAGTGGGTAAGACTTATTTATGGAGAAAAAATATTAATCAAAATTTATTAGGGGATTAAAAATCAAAATTAGCTAATGGGAGATGTCATTCTGTAAATATGTTTCTCATATTGGTTAATGAATAAAGCACTGTTGGCCAAGAGGAAAGCAAGACAGGCGGGACTAGGAGACAAGGAGGAAAGAGGAAGTAGGGAGGAGGAGATCCAAGATGGAGGACAGAGAGAGCAGAATGCCGGCCCCTCACTCTCTGGTAAGATGAGACCATGTGGGAGTACAGAGAGTAATAGAAATGGGTTAACAGTCACAAGAAGAGGAACACAGTATGTACTCGCTCATATATGGACTTTAGAGCAAAGGATCACCAGCCTACAATTCACACCACCAGAGGAACTAGGATGCAAGGTGTATTCTAAGAGATTCATACAAGATCCCTCACAGAAGGGGGAAGGGGCAAGTCCCCCAGAGCACATGAGAAGTCGGGGGGGGGCAGCGAATGGAGAGAGAAGTAGAAAAAAGAGAGGGGAGGAGAGGAAAGCATGTGCGACTAGGAAGATTGAGTCAGAGTAGGAATAGCAGACAGGAGAGAGAGAGAGAGAGAGAAAGAGACAGAGAGAGAGAGAGAGAGAGAGAGAACAAACATAAAAGAGGGAGCCAATATTGGTTTGAAGAGAAAACTGAACCTAAAGAAAGGTCTAGAGACCTACAAGACTGCCGCCAACTGACAATTTGAGCAACCGTGGAAAGGCTACCATAAATCTCCTTCCCAGAGAGTGAGATCAACAACTAACTTATCCATCTTATCCATGGAGCCCTCAACTAATGCCTGTGGGAAACAAGAGCTAACACCCATACATAAACACTGAGTCAAACTAGAACACAGATGCAGAGGGAGAGGATAAGATCAGGTTACAGAAACACATAGAGACAGCTGACCTGAACAAGGAGGAGCTAACGGCCCCCAGACTGATAGCTGCAAATCCAGCATGGGACTGACTCAGACCCCCTGAATATGGGTCTCAGCTAGAAGGACTGAGCAGACTCAGACAGTGGAACCAGGATATATCCCTGGTGCAAAAAAGGACCTTGTGGACACATCCCCCATGGAGAGATAACTGCCTTAGCCTAGAGACAGGAGAGAAGTCCTAGTGCCTACTTCAAATGACCTGACAGGTCTACATGACCCCAACTGGATGGCATTCCCCTACATATGGAATTGGGATGGGGGTATGGGAGGGGAGTGGTCAGGGTGCATGTGAGGGGACAGTGAGGGAAAGAGGGAGGGAGGGAACTGGAATTGATAAAAAATTATAAATAAATTCATATAATAAATAAATAAATAAGAAATAGAAATGGGTTAATATTTAAGACAGAATTAGCCGATAAGAAAGTAGTAACTGGCCAACAGCATTATATCAAATACAGAGTCTCTGTGTATTATTTGGGGCTGGTGGAGCTGTGGAACCAGCAGGCAGAAAAAAACCTTACTCATAACAGTTAATTACCACATAGTTTAAGTATCTCCTACATTACCTATAATCATAAAAAATAAAATATGTATACCAATTATTCTCACAATCCATGAGCTATTTTTAGTCGATTTCTCTGTTAGATTTCTAAAATCAGTATAGAATTCAGTGCTCATGCAGACACCCCTTTTCCTTTCCAGCAGCTCACATTCTAGTCACCCATTAGTTAAAGGCTAAATCATTTTCATGATTACCATTTACAAATCTCACTTCGAATATCAGAATTTGACCTTATTGTCAAATTAATCAAATCACTACGCCTCTATTTTACCCTTTTAGAAACAAAGAAGGATGACAGAAATAGAGTTGAGGCGCTGGCTGAGGTGGGACTGGGTCCCCTGCGTGCCATCAGTGCTGCTCCACCCTCTGTGTGCTTTGACCCACCCTCAGCTGTCCCCTTGTCTGTCACTGAGGGCCCCACCCCCACCCCATTTCTCCTTTTTCATCTTAATAAAAGTCACAGAAGACACAGTCTTCACTGCTCGTGAGCATTGTGTGTTCCGTGTTCTAATTGAAAACTGAGTTCAGCTCTGTCGACGTGTTTATCAAAAGAAACCTGGATTCTGGGTGCAGGGCTGGTATTCATGAGAGCGAATTAGCTTTTCTGTGATTTTGTGACTGAACATGCTTTTAATTAGTGTTCATATACTTGTCTTTAATGTCAGTGAGACAGGATAATCAGGCACAAACTATACCTGGGCTCTCCATCACTGAAGCTCAGCATGCTCCTCTGGTAACTCCTCAGGAGCAGTGTGTGTAGAGGCCCATCCTGCCTCTAATGAACACATGTCTGTCTCTTTTCCAGCACACAGATACGTCATCAGAATGAGTCAGCATTCTCAGGATCTCCAAGAAGGTTTTCATAATGCTGCTGTAGTGAATACTTCTGGTCTGGTACCTAAGGAGGCTGGGTCAATAGAAAATTTTGAATTCAAACCAGAAACCTTGAAAATAGAAAATGGTACCATGTTCTACATTGCAGTTCAGGCCATCAATGAAGCGAATCTCACTTCAGCGATCTCCAACATCGCACTGGCTGTCAAGTTTATTCCTCCACAGGAATCCAGCATCCCTGATTTGGGTACCAAAATGCCTGCACCTAGTTTGACAGTTTTTGTATTTGTTGCAACTTTATTCACATTTTAAACTAGAAATTATAATAGGACTAAAATTCAATCTTATTTAGAATTAATTTACTGCCCTCATTGTCTACTATACAATTCTTTGTAACATAAAAGTGAATGTTCAATGCTGTAAATTTTGTATTTGAATCAATTAAAACCAATTAAGTTATTATATACAAACCAGAGTATTTCCTTAATCTAAATTTGAAGAGGATGAATTAAATTGAACAACCCATTTTTCAAATGTTAATATCAAAAAGCCATTCACTAAATAATATAAAAATTTTTTTGTCTTGGTTTTTGAGATAGGGTTTGTATGTATTGTTTTGGAGCCTGTCCTGGAATTCAATCTGTAAAACAGACTGGCCTCCAACTCACAGAGATCAACCTGCCTCTGCCTCCTGAATGCTGGGATTAAGGGCCTGCGCCACCAATGCCCGGCTTATAACATGTAATGTTATAAAAATAAATGCACAAGGAGACAACATAAAGCTCAAAAAGAGAAAATGATGTCTGTTTGAAGAGTAAATCAGAAAAAATTGGAAACTAACTCAATATACAAACAAGAAAACAGCGGTATTCTGTAGGCAGTTCACACATACGGGTGAATCCAAATAGGAAAAGCCCTCCAACTTAAAAGGTAAATTATAAAATCAGTCTTTAAAATGAAATAAATATCTAGATAGCTTTGAGATTATAAAAGTCTTTTAGGGAAAACCTAGCTAGATAAGGGGTACCTGACTGTGATCTCAGCAATTAGGTATCAAGGAGGGAGGATCATAAGTCAGCATAAGCGAGACAGCCCAGGATGCAAGATCTTGTCTGCAAAAAGAAAACTTTTAAATCTGATAAGGCATTACTAAATGTTCTCTGCATTTTTAAATTAAAAATAAAAATATGCACAATAAATAAGTAGGCAAATTGTTGTATTGATCTCTTTTCTGCTACACAACAGAACACTTGAGAATGGGCAACATATCAAGGGAAGCGGTTTTGGAGACTGAGAAGTCTGACATTGGAAGGCAGCCTCTGGCTAAGGCCCCCAGGACAAGCACGGGCCTCTGGGAGAACAGTGGATGAGAAACACATTCCTATGACAGCCCACCTTCCCAGGGGCTAAGTCATCCCCGAAAGAATGACTGCAGACAAAGGCTCTGCAGTCACAGCACAATCCCTTCTCAGCATAATTTCAAGATGGGTTTTAGAGAAAACAAGCCATATTCAAGCCATACCAAACTGAGTATTGCCTAATGTTTAAAAGGACAGTCTTTTTCTCATACAAAATCTATCAAAGCAGTCACATTCTCTTGAATCTTTGGCTGAGAACTACTGTTTAAATGGAAACGAAAGGAACTACTCTCAAGTGATTTTCAAGTTTAATCTTCTCCGGTTGTCCTTTTGAAACATATCATGTGTTGTATGCTTCTCCGGTTCTCCTTTTGAAACATACCATGTGTTGTATGTCATTTTCAGACAGACTGGCATGTCAGGCATAAAGACACAAGCCTTTAATGCCAGCTCTCTGGAGGTTGAGGCAGGCAGACCTCTGCCGAGTTCAGGACAGTCAAGACTATTTAGTGAGACCCTTCCTTGAAGAAAAAAATTAAATGAAGCTGAATGATCTGAGATGAAACACAAGGTTGTCCTGTCCGCAGCTGTAACCTAGGACATGTCCCTAACTTGGCCTTCAGATGCCCTTCACCCCAAAGGCTTCTTCCTGGTTCTCTTGCCACTGAGAAATTGTTCTCTGCCTCCAGACTCACTGTTGCTGTGCTATAACTCTCTACAGAACTTTTTCACTCCATTACGTACTTTTTAATATTATTTTATTCCAAATTAATCCATGAAATGAGTCTTCATGTCCTGTAGAGGCAATGCCACGCTGACTCCATTCTGTACTCATACAGAGAGCTGGGATGCGTCACAGATCAAAGAGGAGCAAGCTCATCTTCTTCCTTGTGGGCAAACAGCATCAAGATTTACTAGTGTTGGGGGCAGAGGGGACACATGCTGGGTTAATATTATTATTATTGTTATTACTATTATTCATCCATTAACTTAGCTATTTATTTTTCATGTTGATTTTTTTTTTTTAAAGATGATCTCACTGCATACATGGTCCAGCAGCCTAGGCCACCAAATGCTTCACAAATAATTTTATTTAACTTTTGCAATGTTCCTCTTAGAAAGACTGTTGGGCTAAAGTGATGGCTCAGCCATTAAAGGCTACGCTCACAACCAAAAATAGAAAGATACTGTTCTCCTCATTTTACAGATAAGTAATTGAGAATGAGAGGGTTTAAAGTTGTAGGCAGGAGAGGGAGATTTGCCAATGTCAATATGATCATTATCTCTTAGCTTTACGTCATGCAGCAACTTTGAATGCTTGGAACAGAATTGGAGAAGCAAGAAAGAAAATCGAACCATTTACAATAGTTACACAAGGCTGAAAGGAAGCATGTATAGACTTCTTACAAAGACTGTCATTGGCAGTAAATAGAATGATACCAAACTCAGATGCTAGAAAAATAATATTGAAACTATGGCTTTCGAAAATGCTAATGGCCAACAAAAGGATAATTAGGCTTTTAAAAGAAAAATCAGGTCCTCTGAAGGACTGGATATGAGATACAACTAATACTGAAGTTCACGGCCATGATGCCATGATGGCGATGCTACTTGGATAGAAGTGATTTCAAGAGGTTTAAAATAATCAAAGTGTCAAATATTTTAATTATGGCAGACAAGGTCAGAGAAGATGATGGGCATTGAAGAAACTCTTACGGGGTTTACTTTCTTCATGGCAAAGGTAAATCACTGGGCAAGAAAGTGCCCTTGCCTTGACTACAGATGGTATGCTGTCCAAAATGGACAAACAGGACACAAAAGAGAGTGACTAAAAAAACCTTGTCAAGACATGGCAGGACAGCCCTTCAGAAAATTCTGCTTCAAAGAAAAGTCTGTCGGAGATTCCAGGCTTTTAGGGCAAAGATGGATGCCCCAGTGTTGAAGAGGAACCTTGGGTGACCCGTCCAGGAATTCAGCTGTTCTTCTGTCATTCCTCACATTTTTTTGAGTCGCTTGTTTGAACTCAATAAATAATATTTCCTTCTTAGGTCTCTAAGGGAGTTAACGATTACTTACTATAGATATGTTTTTCATCATTCACAAGACTCAGGAAATATAGTCACTGAATATATATAAAGTGTAAATGGTTTGAGGAACACTAAAAGTGATTTTGATAGTGTAAATTAGAATAGAAAATAAATTAGGTACAAGACTTTGAACTCACCAAGATAGGATAATGAAGTATTTTCTCTGAATTTGTCAAATGGAAATGGACTAGACATTGTTCACAAACTTATTACCTGTATATACTGTACATGTTGTATATACTTTTTATGTTAGTTGTAGCCATCTTTTTCTATTAGAGAAAAAAAAGGGGAACTGTGGTAATACGGTATTTATGATTTATTAAAGCTTGCCTGAGGATTCAGGAAGCAAAGTCAGCCTCAAGCTATAGAGATCAGGCTGATGCATACCTTTAATCCCAGGACTCAGGAGACAAAGACAGGTGAATCTCTATGAGTTCAAGGCCACCCAAGGTACTTGAGATTGAATCCATCTAAAACAGTAATAGATTTCACACCTTTAATCCGACCACTAGAGAAGTAAAAAAGACAGAAGGGTCTTCAGTAGTCAGTCTCACAATTCTCCAGTCACACTGAGGAAAGCATGGCAATACGGGATTGCAGTCTGAGGTTTGGTGAAGTCGGGATCACTTTTCATATGAGGTAGAGGTAGGAGCTAGTGACCAGCTGCTTTGCTTCTCTGATCTTCAGCTTGAAGGCTAACCCCCAGTATCTGTGTCTGGGTCTGTTATTGTTCATGGTAGAATGCACCATACATATACTTGACTTGGCTTCTCATCATGTCTTCTCACAAGATATTCACACTCAAGTGATTCCCAGACAAGAAATAAAAGCAAAAATCATCATACTATTCCTCAATAGATTTAGGTGAATACTGGTAACAGAATCAGGCATAACTCCAAGAGAAGACACTGGAAGAGAAGGAGCCTGAGTGTGTGTTCTCACAATGGCAAAATTGAGAGTTGATATTGAATCATGGTCATCTATGAAGCCTACCAGATGCTGTTGAAGATTTTTAATGTGGACCCAGACATGTTTAAATTGGTTTGCCCAGTAATAAAATGCAGAATCACAGACCAAAAAAAAAAAAAAACTACAATAACTACTCAAGAAAGCAAAACACTAAAATGTTCCAGGACGATAACATGGAAAGATTTTACAGGAAAGGCTACAGCGAGCCTGGGCTGGCACACAAGATTGTTGTCAATTCTGGGAGGTAGGAACTTGCCAAAAACAACCCTGGTTGCTATCCCAGCAGCCCATTTTTCTGGTAGTCTGGCAGGATCGGCACTCTTCAGGTCCCGTAAACTTAACAGTTGTACAAAATAAACTCGTGCAAACAGAACTTGTCTAGACAAGTTTTGTAGCAGAAAACACTGTCTATTGTCATAGAAACTACAATAAATGTATTCACTACAACACCCTTGTCACTAAACAACTAAGATTTTAGATCTGATGAGGTAAGTCACCAAAAGATGTCAGTGTTTCTCTCAGTCAAATGTATGTAAATACTCTGGTCTTGATCCAAATTCCCGAGTGAAGCAGGCACATAAATACCCTCCTTGTGCTGCTACCTCACTTACATGTGCGAACATGGTGTCGGGTCTGAAGGTCCTTCTGTTCCTCAGTCTGCATCTCTTTCAGGGAGTGAAAAACTCCATGGTCCATCTGAACAACAACGGCTATGAAGGAGTGGTCATTGCGATTAACCCTGGTGTGCCAGAAGATGAAAGACTTATCCAAAGCATAAAGGTAAGGAGAGTTTTATTGTCTGCATATTTGCATGTCAATAATTCTTTTTACGTAGGCATCTAACCACACACACCCAGAGAGAGAGAGAGACAGACAGAGAGAGACAGAGAGAGAGATAATTATTCCCTCCCAAAGCCATTTGACTGTATTCATCACCTCTGCAGTATTATCTACAGCCAAGATAAGTATCTGCTTAGCTTTATGTTTTTATTACACATTAAAACCAGTGTTAAAGCTCTTAACTAGCTCTTAACTTATTAGTAACTAGTTAGGTTAGACTTTAGAGCAAGTGGAGAAATGTTCTCATATTTTATATTAATGATGTTGCTTTTACAAAATCAATACAGCAAATGTACACTTAAACCATAGCAGCTGTGGTGTTACACATCTCTTCAGTTGCTCCTACACAATCGATTTTGGAAAACCTAAAATCCTTACCTATCTTCCCTTAGACATGCTTGAAGTTGATGTGTACCTAATTGCATTTGTATAATAAAAGATTTTGTGTAATCTGTACTTCACTCTTAAATCCTCTCAAAATGTCCATGATGGTTAGGAACACAGGTTCTTGTCCTCTTGTCTGTGGGATCATAGCAAGTAGCAAGCTGAAACAATTCAGTCTTATTTATCATTGTTATTAGTACTTGGGGCAATGCTAGAATGACGCAGTAAGTTGTATACACGGATGCATGTGTAGAAATGTATACACAAATGTAACAATGATAGTTAAAGATGAGGTCATAAATTTGGTGGGGAGAGTGGAAATAATGGGAGGAGTTGAGGAGGTGATAAAGAGGGGAGTGATGCAGATTCATACCTACATATGAAGCTTTCAAAAAATATGTTTTATAACAAATATCACCAGACTTTTAAACTCCTAGGTTGTTTAAACAACCCAAGTCTGAGGAAATTGATGACTAAACAACTTGCCTACAGACCTGTGATCATAATCATGTTAATACCCCACCCAGAGACTTTATTCTCATACCCACCCTAACCACCAGCTGCAGGGGTGGGCAGCAGGAAATCAGAGTTGGCATGGGCATATGGAAATGAGTTTATACATTGGAGAGATCCAGTAAAACTTTTTCCAACTTTCAGTTATGCTGTGCAAGCGAATTTAAGGAAGAGCAGCCCCTGTTAGTTTCTTCTGGTTTGCGTATAGACGTTCTTACCACAATGCACCTTTCATTTTGTCAGGAAATGGTAACCCAAGCCTCTACTTACCTGTTTGAAGCCAGCAAAGGAAGATTTTATTTCAGGAATGTAAGCATTTTAGTTCCGATGACCTGGAAGTCAAAGTCTGAGTACCTAACACCAAAACGGGAATCATATGACAAAGTAGGTGTCACATCCAGATCCTAAACTTTTGATTCTTGTGCCTTTTCCAAATGAATACTTACGAGGTTTGATAATTAAGTTAGCAATTAGTAATATAACTTTTCTTTTGTTGTTTGTGTATGAGTGTATGCATTTGTGGTCCATGTGTTTGTGCATGTGTGTGTAAATGTACACCTGCCTTTGTGTGCAGTGTGTGTCTGGTGTGCATGCATGTGTGTATGTGTGTAGTGTTCATTCTTGTGTGTGTGCAAGTCTGTGTGTGTAGTATGTCTATGAAGGGTGTGTATGTATGTAGTATGTCTATGTAGGGTGTGTGTATTGTGTGTGCATATGTGAGTATGTAATTGTCTGTGAATGCATGAGTATGTAGTATCTGTGCATATGGTGTCTGCGTAATATGTGTACATATGTGTGCATGTCTTAGCCTGTATATGTAATGTTTGTAAGGTGTATGTGGTGTGTGTGTGTGTATATGTGTGTGTGTATGTAGTGTGGGTATGTGCACAAAATGCTCAAGTAAGTGTCACAGGTCAATACTTCCTCTATTTGCTTTCGACCGTTGATTTTTTGAAACAGGGCATGTTACTGAATCTGAGAATCATCAATTTGGCTAGACCAACTGGGGAACACTCTCCAGTAGTCTGCCTGTCTCTGCTACCAAACTACTGGGGTTACACACATGGGTCAACATACCAAGCTGTTATGTGGGTGTTGAGCTGAAAACTCCAGTCCCTGTGGATAAATAGAAAGCACTTACTCCACTGAACCCCAACTTTCACCAGTTTAGATAAGTCTTGTTTGTAAAACCTCTTGTCTCTGTCACCCTTGGCATCTTCTTCTGCATTTTAGGCAGACATCATAGTTGCTGAACCTTACCTGAAATATGGAGATGATCCCTACACACTTCAGTATGGACAGTGCGGAGACAGAGGACAGTACATACATTTTACTCCAAACTTCCTCCTGACTGATAATTTGCCTGTGTATGGACCCCGAGGTAGAAATATCTATTTTATACTTCTTATTTCCACTGGGGAAAAGCAAACCACAACTATTAGAAAAGTAAACATAAACTAACACCTTTGTTTAAAAATATATCAATTGCATTCCACCTATTTGTGCATCCAAACTTCTAAATATAATGAGTCACTTATTGTAACTAGCATACGTGAATTTGGGGGCTATTAAATTGTGTAAATTTCTGGACTTTGTAACAATTTCTATTTTAGAAATGAACAAAAAGACTGGAAATAAAGGGAAACTTTTGTTATGAGCAGTTTCCCGCCAGCCTAGTCCCAGAGTCACATTGGCCCCAAAATAATATTCAGAGACTCTATTTGTTAAAAAGCTGTTGGCCAATTGCTAGTGTTTCTTATTGGCTAGCTGTTTTAAATGTTAACCCATTTCTACCATGCTAATTGTTTCCATATGGTCTTGTCTTACAGAAGAGAGGGTCTGGGCCTCTTATTTCTCTTGATCCTACATTTTGACCCTCTTTACTACATCTCCCAGAATCCTCCTTATCTCCTAATCCCACCTATCTTGCTTTCCTATTGGCCAACAGGGCTTTATTCATTAACTAGTAAGAGAAATACATGTACAGAATGACATCCTTCATCATCTCCTCTTTTCTGTCTAAAATAAAAAGAAGGGTTTTAACTTTAATATAGTAAAATATATAACAAAAGAGCTGTCAAATAAGAACTATTGTTAATAATTAATTCATTAACATTTCTCAAGATTTAAGGAAAATATTTCAGCATCTGTTCTATCTTTGTGAGTTTAAAGTCTTATAGGTAACTTATCTTTAATCCTAACTAAGGAAAATTATAACCATAAGAATCTGTCTTCAACTCCATCAAAGACCACAGAAGGAGGATATATAAACTCTAGAAATGACAGAGACATCTCACTATCTAGACAGTCACATAAAGCCTCAAAACAACATCAGGGCAACTAGTTTTGGCTAAGCCATAGAGTATCTGACAGAACACTACAGAAGCAGGGAGGTAGAGAGGCTCCCTTACCCTGACTTGGCAAGGTTCAGAAGTCTTCCATGTTTGTCTCCTGCAAGCACAGAACAACATGTCCAAAGTCAGTGGTTGAGGTAGGGGCAGTTCTTTGCCCAAGAACTACAGAGGAGAGGATGGACTCCAGAAGTAGTGACATCCGTTTACAACGTATTCCCAGGAAATGCTCGGTGCTGTCAGAAGCAATAGTGTGTCATGGCAATGGAATTCTAATATTAAAACAATTAAATGCCATGTTCTGCAGGTCTATGAAGTGTTTGAAGATCAAACATCTATGCCTGACTAATCTCATAGGTATAGAATTCTGGGTGAAGATAATCTGTAGTACTCAGGAACCTAGCTATATGAATGGTTAAAACTCCCCTAAGTAATTAGCAAGGACAAGGAATATATATATCTCACAGGTAGAATTGAAATGTCTTGACCCAAAGTAGAACTGTATAATGCAAGATGATGAAAATATTCTAAAGTGTATCGATATACAAAATGTCTAGAACATATGTAAAAGTACACTTACATAAAATATGATAAAAATATTGTGCACAAAATGTGGTAAACCAAAAGACCTTACACAATATGACAAAATATAATATACAAATAATTCGAGAAAAGAAAAAATCTTAGGCAACAAAATTTCTCCAGGGGACTAGCTGTACCATTTGTAGCTAGTGTCTGAGTGGCAGGAAATGCTTTACTGAGTTCTATCTGGAACTCTGGCTAGAGTGTAATAAGAAGGTGCACCATTTCAGCTACTCTGGAGTTGTCTCGAGCAATATAGTCCCAAAACGGTTTGGGGTGATGTTTGTAGTCCAGATGCACCAGGTTGAGTACAGTGAAAACAATGAAGTGGGACCCCATCTTCTTCCCAGAGAGTTCAAAGCTTGTTGTTAGGAATTGTTATTGTTCCCTGTGGAAAACTTAAACATCAATATCAACATGAAAATTTCAACTTTTATAGGAATGCATATTAGGAAAGGCAACAGTAAGCATGAAAATGTATATGAGGAAAATTAGGATTTCAGAGAGGAAACTAAGTTTAGACAAATGACAGTTCCCAGATTTTGTGTTCTTCTGTCTTACACTAATTGGTTTCTTGATATAAGGCAGAAATTCTGAGTTTAATTTTAAAAATATGCTTGAATTTAAAGGAGGAATACTAAATCTAGCTCCAAAACCAGCGTTGGTTTACATGAATTGGAACTAAAGGAATACTAGGAAGTAAAGAGAAATAGATTTTTTTGTAGAGAAATAATACATTAGAATTAAATATTTGTATCATATATTAAGTCCCTCTTTGTTAGAGGGTTCTTTCTGGAGAGCTGCCTTTTCTTCTGTAGGTAACTACATGTTGTGTATTTTGGTGTTTTGTTGTTGTTGTTGTTTTGTAGACAAGAACAGAACACTTCCCCTACCTTTGAGATCTCCATACAACTCACGGGAAATACTTTGGTGGATGACTTGTCGTTTCTCTTCATTAAGAGGTTTCTCTTGTCCAGCTCAAATCTTGATCAACTTCTCCTGTAGGCAAAACCCCTACCCCAATTTAACACATATCCTGGTTTCCATACTGAGGTCAATACATCCTTGAAGTACACTGGCTGGTTTAGTTCAGAAGTTTTTTCTGTTGTCCAGTATCTTTCTGCAGCTGTTTTTCCTTTCTCATTAGCATTAAGAACGTTCAATGTTAATAAAGCATTATGTAATCTGTGTTTGGGTGTATTGGTTCCCCCCTGTCTGTTTACAGAGCATGTCTTTTAAAGTACGATGAGATCTCTCAACCACTGCTTGTCCTGTGGGATTGTGTGGTATACCAGTTATGTGTTGTATGTTACAATTCAAAAAACTGTTTCAGTTTGCTGGAGATAATATGTCAGAGAATTGTCAGATTTTATTTGTGCAGGTATGCCCATAATGGCCATTACCTCGAATAGGTGTGTGATAACAGAACCTGCCTTTTCAGAGCTCAGAGCAGTGGCCCATTGAAACCCTGAAAATATGTCTATAGTATGGTTCACATATTTTAATTCTCCAAATTCTGCAAAATGAAACACATCAATTTGCCATATTTCATTCCTATTTATACTTTTAGGGTTACTACCTCCTGGTAGAGAAGTTTGGTTATAGAATTAACAAGCAGGACATTTTCTTACTATTTCCTTAACTTCTTGCCAAGTGATAGAAAAATCCTTCTTTAAACCGTTTTTTTTGTTGTTGTTGTTGTTGTTGTTGTTGTTGTTTTTTATGAAACTGTGAGGACCCTAGCACACTTCCCATCAATTTCATCATTGCCTTGTGCTAGGGGGACCTGGAAAACACTTATGAGATCTGATGTGTGTATTATATGTATATAGAATGAGCCCTGTTCCTGATAGTATCTTGTAATTGTATAAACAATTTAATTCTGTACTTAATTCTGTATCGTCAGGAATAAATTCCACAGTCTCAATGTGTAAGATGACTCTCTCTGCATATTGAGAGTCAGTAACTATATTGAGAGGTTCTGTAAAATTCATAATATCATGAGAATGGCATAAAATTCTGCCTTTTCTACAGATTTATAAGCGCTTTGAACTACTTTACTTATAATTCCTGATTTATATCCTTCCTTACATGATTTGTTTGCATCACTATAGAATGTAGGGACTCCAGATATTGGTGTTTTTCTTACAATGTGTGGAAGGATCCAAATAATTTTCTTTATGGATTTGATTCTCTCACTTTTGGGATAATTATTGCTAATTCTCCCCAAAAATTTACTGTATTCTCTCTGCCAATATTCATTATCTTTCCATAAGGAGGAAAATTCCTTATTAGTTAAAGGTACTATAATTTCTGTTGGGTCCATTCCTGTCAGTTGACGAAGTCTTGATTTACCTTTTAAAAACAAGTATTCTGTTTTTTGTGGTAGAAATATCCATTCTAATATCATATCTTCCCTCTACATCAAAATCCCCAAAGAATATTCTCTAAATGGTAATATAACCAGAATACACTCTAGTTTTGCATCCACACAATCCAACTGTGCTTTTAGTATCCTCTTTTCTACCCATTCTAATTCCTTTTCAGCTTCAGATTATAGTATTCATGAACTTTTCAAGTCCTTTTCCCATTTTAGTGCTATTTTCAAGTTTTTCAAATCATGCCTTCTACTCCAATAATGGTCTATAGTTGAGAAATCTCCCCAAGTAATTTTTGAAGATCATTAAGAGTCTGGTAACAATTTCTCCTGATCTGTACTTTTGGTGGTCTAAATGCTAAATATCCTAAGTAACTGATAAAAATCTCCTCTTTGTATTTTTTCAGGTGCAATTTGTAATCCCCGGTGAGGTAAAAGTTCGTTTACTTCCTCAAACATTTTGTTCTAATATTTCTACTTTAGAATCAGACAACAATATATCATCCATGTATGGTAAACTATGGATTGAGAAAACTGTTTATGAATTATTTCCAAAGGATTTTACACAAAATATCAGCAGAGGGTGGTGGGGCTATTTAGCATTCCCTGTGGCAAAACCTTCCTTTGATATCTCTTGACTAGCTGAGAATTATTGTAATAAGGTACCATGAAGGCAAATTTTTTCTTTATCTTTTTCTTATAAAGGTATAGTGAAGAAGCAATCATTAAATCAATAATATAATAGGCCATTCTTTATGTATCAGAGAAGGCAAGGGCATTCCAGGCTGTAGAGAGCCCATTGGCTGGATAACTTTATTGATGGCTCTCAGGTCTGTAAGCATTCTTCATTTTCCAGATTTCTTTTTGATAACAAATACTGGAGAATTCCAAGGGCTGGTTGATTCACTGATACATCCAGCATTTAACTGTTCCTGAACCAGGTTTTCTAAAACCTCTAGCTTCTCAGAGGTCATAGGCCACTGCCCTACCCAGACAGGTTCCTCTGTTAGCCATTTTCAGGTTGGGCTTTTGACTCCTGTTTGTTCAGCACTTGTATTCTGTTTTTGTACAGCCTGGATATTTGGTGTCTGTCTTGTATAGTACTTTATAATATTTTCTCTACAATCATGAGTTCGTTTATGGTTCCTATCTAACACTGGAAGACTGTTAATTTGTGTGTTCCATTGCTGCAATGCATCATGACCCCATAAATTTATTGCTATATCAGCCAAATATGGTCTCAACCTTCCTCTCTGTCCTTCTGATCCTATACATTCAATCCATCTCATGCTCTGTTTTACCTGTGATAGGGTTCCATCCCTAAGAATTGAACATTTACCTCTTGCAGGGGCCATCTTGGAGGCCAAGGTTTATCAGTTATAATGGTCACATCAGCACCAGTGTCAAGGATCCCTTCTACCAATTTGTTACTCATCCTTACTTTTAATTTAGGCCTTTTGAATATTTATAGAGGTTTGCCAAAATATACATTTTTTTTGTTCCCTTCATTCATGTTTGATTCATCTTCCATAGCTAATCTGGCATTCGGAGAGGTATGATATATATATATATATATATATATATATATATATATATATATATATATATGCACTGGATTTTCTAATCATCCACAGTGACTGGGAATGTCTGGACCACCTGTGACATGGGGCCTTCAAGAGGCCCCCCCACAAGGAGTTTCCCAATTGTAAAGGTTTCCCTTGCTTGTCTCTGATTGATCTACACTCATTGGTCCAGTGTTGGCCTTTGGCACATCTTCTGCATAATCCAGAGGGCTGAGGCCTTCTGTTTGTTTCATTCCTAGGAGTGTTATTCTTAGGAATGCTTTGCCTACAATTTCTTCTTAGATGTCCTATCCTACCAGAATTAAGACACCTGGTATTTTGATGTCTTTTCAAACCTTTGGAGATCACTTCTCCTACCCACGCTTACATGTCACCACAGTTAAGACACCTGCTATCTTGATGTCTTCTCAGACTTTTGGATATGTCTTCTCCTACCCAAGCTTCAGTGTCATGGTCGTTATATTCAATGTTGGGTGTATACAGGACCCATTCATCTAACGGTACTGATTTGATTTTTAAGGGCCAAAGCACATGTTTGCATTGTGGATTTGCATTCTCGTAAGCTAATGATTCTATGAGTATTCGCCTAGAATCTGGATCTGGTACCTAATTGTACTGCCCTAGACAATCTTTGTAGCAATACACTAAAGGATTACTTTGTCCCTGCCTCACTTTGGTAAAGGATTCTATGCTCTACCCTTGATCAGGAACCTTATCCAAGCCATTCAAAGCTTCTGTACTGCATAGAGACATGATATGTTCATCATATGCAGCTTGAGTTTCTGGATCAGCACAAAGACCCTCACCAAGAATTTTATCTGAGGGAGCTTTATAACCTTTCTTCAAGCCTGAAGTTCAAGAGCTTTTGCTTCTTCTCTCCACAAAGCCATCTTTCTAATTGAGAGGAGTTTTCAAGGACAGCTGATATTAATTGTTCCCAATTCTTAGCGGCTCGCTTATTATTCCTTGCCCATGATTCTACTAATTGCTTCACATATGATGAGCGCATGCCATAAGAGACTACTGTTTCCTTTATACCTTTTAAATCTTCCATACATATTGGTTCCCACTGGCATGCAACAAAACGTTTAGGGTGTTTTTTCATTGCTGGATTTTCAGTGAGAGATACAGAGAAAGGCATTGGTGATGGAATAATGACTTTAGGCAAGTCCTCTCTGACCCTGAAGAGTGTAGGGAATTTTAAATGTCTTTCCTGCCCCGTCACCTGTACCTCTTGTTCTTCTAAGGCCTGCAATGTGTTCACAGTTGTTTGTCTGAGTGTGTGAACTTCTTGAATCATATAAATTTCCAGAGACTTCATTGAATCAGTTTCTTGTTTTCTCCAACTACGAATGATTCTATGCTTTTATTATTCTCATCCTTAGATATTATTTGAATGGCATGTAAACTGCCTTCCAGAAACAATGTTGTATCAGCTGGCTTACTATTACCCTCAGACATGGAAAAATTCTGTCACTTTTTCCACGTGATATTCCAGTTTTTTCATATTATTATTCAATTTGTCGAACAAGGAACAAACTGTTTCTGCTAGTGTGTTAATGCATTGCGTTGTTTGTTTTGGTCATTGAAGCACCAGACATGGAACAAATTCTGTCTTCTCAGTCACTTTTATGTTCCATGTTTTGTATTCTACCTGTCATTGCCATCTTCAAAATTCTGAACACTTTTTTCTAAGTGTTCTATGTTTGCATTCTGTTTTTCAGATCTCCATTGTCATTTTCAACATTCTGAGTCCTTGTTTCTAAGTGTCCTATGGTTTGTAAAAGTTCCTTATTTTTCGCTCTAATCTCAAACCCTTTCTTTAAGAATATTACATTGATTATAAAACTAATGGCCATTATTAGGAAAATGTATATTTTGGGTTAAGTCATGGTCCTCTTCTAAGATTCCCTCCATACATGAAACAAAAACTTTCCTAACATCTGGATTGGTAAGATTATCCACCATTGGTATGGAACAATTGATCTCAGTCATTATAACAGCTTAAATTGCGAAGGTGACTGTAATTAACTTAGCTATAATCCTGCTGTCTTGGGACTTTGATGCTTTTAGTTGCAGAACTCAACTGTGGTAAATATACCTGGCCTGTAGGTGCAGAGGTGTACCACCAAATAGTATCCAGCAGCAGGAGATACTTCCAATTCCCGTCCCTGTACAATGAGTCTTAACACACTAACAATTGGAATTTTGTTAAGTGGAGGAGTGAAGCAAGCCTTATGTAAATTGCTGGAACCATAGTGCCAACAGGTCTCTCCTCCGGCTTCCTGAACAAATGGAGACCAGAAGAAACAACCAGGGAGGGGCTCAGGGCTTCAGCATTCAGTCTCAGCACAACTTGGGGAGGTGGGCATGATGCCTCCTGATGCTCTGTGTCTGACAAGGAATCAAGAGAGAGCTGGGGTCCAGAAACCCAGACCTAGTCACCCCAGGTCACGCCAGCTCCTGTTCCCACTCCCCAATGCATGGCGTCAGTATAACAGGTGTAGGTGGGGTGGATATCTCATTATAGAAAACTGTTCCAATATTGTAGCTACAGTTCTATAGATGACTGTCTTCTCTACCAGGCAGAGTCTTTGTCCATGAGTGGGCCCATCTTCGGTGGGGACTATTTGATGAGTATAATACAGACCGGCCCTTCTACATATCTGGAAAGAACACTCTCGAAGTCACAAGGTATAACAGTGGGAACTGATTCTACACCTTATTGGCAATGGCTTAATCTCTCTGCAGCACAAATGAGCAGGTGTTCAGGCAGGCCACCACATTCAGGCTGCACCATTATGTGTTAATAGATGTCTGACTAATCCTTGTGTCTCCATCTTGGGATGGAGGTAGTCAGGTACCAGGACTTATTTCAGTAAATCCACTGGAATGTTATAAAAATTATTTCTGGGTAGCAGAAAAATTAGGTAAACCCACAGACATCAACAAATTTCAATTCAAGCCTAAACACATTATCGATATTATTTTTAAATTTTATTTCTTCACATGTATGTCATACTAACTCTGTGTAGAAAGAAAACATGTGACATTTGTTTCAGCTCCCTCCTTTACCCTATCTAATAATGCCCCATTTCTATTTCCAATCTATGCATCATTTCTTCTACTTGTTTCAAAAATTTTTTAAGTACAACAGCTTTATTGAAACCACTAAGTATTCAGGGGGCTTTGAAATGAATATAGTTTACTTCTAAGTTAGTGAAAACTCATGTTTTCATAAAGAAAATTGAACAAGTTTATTTTTTTCAGAAAGGTAATTCTGGGATAAACATAGCCAAACTGTAAGTATAAACTTATAAAGTGTTTAGACCTTCAAACTGAAAGTAACAAACACTTAGACTATTTCTAAAAAGTCTTGAGAAAAATAGAAATGTATGTAAAGAGGCAATGAGTGTTTGGAAGAAAAACTATCAGATGAAGTGTGTTCTAGAAGACACCTGCCCCATCCCTGTTGTTCTGGATGGTCTGTAGAGATGCCTGGAGCCTTGCACACGGGCTGAGCAGCTCTCAAATCTCCCTCCTGTTCCCACTTTCCTACTACTAATATTGATCATATTAGAAAGGAAATATGAACTAAAAATGCTGCTCTCAGTGGGGAATCTGGCTCAGACTATGAAGTGCTTATTTTACTTACCTTACAAGCATTAGAAACTAAGAAGGGTCCCCAGAAATAACAGGAAAATGCTGCCATGTGGAGCATGTTTGTAATCCCTGCACTGGGAGGGAGAGAAAGGAAGACTCCTGGGGCTTGCTAGCCAGTCAGTCTAGCCTGATTGGTGAGTTCCAGGCCTAGGAAAGACTGCCTCAAAGGAGGTGAATGGAATTACTGAGGATAACAGCTGAAGCTGTCCTCTAGGCTCACTAGTACATATCGACAATAACCAAATATACACAGACATTAAAGAGAAACAACACATGGTTAGGATCTACTCTTGTCAAAATGGAGTTCTTGGTATGTGGTGGCCAGTACAAGTGGCCACTGAGAGAGATTTCATGTGCCTACATTTGACTTCCAGTACTGTAAAGCAGAGGATTTTAAAAATGGGGCTGAGGAAGTAGTGACTGGCACAGGGCGGGCCTGGCATGCACACCCCTGGCTCCATTCCCTGGACCACCACAGTAATCTAACTTTTCTGTCATAGATGCTCCACTGGCATTACTGGGACAAATGTGGTCAGTGAAAGTCAGAGAGGCAGCACCGTGACAAGGTCATGCCGACGTGACTCAAGAACAGGACTCTATGAATCCAAATGTACATTTATCCCAAACAAAGTTCAGAATGCCAGGAACTCCATAATGTTCATGCAAACTCTCAGTTCTGTAAGTACACCTATTCATTTCCTGACAGAAAAAAAAAAAGAATCATTGTGGGGAAATTAACTACGGAAGCTAGCATTCCACTGAAAATATGTGTACAAACAGAGGAAAAGGAAATTCCTCTTAGGGTTGATTTGAGGCCATTTTTTACAGCCTGTGTCATGATGGGTCTGTGAATTGTCCTGCTCTCACTTATAAACCTATGTCTTTCCTTCAAATGTAGCAGGAAAAATGGACCCACATGATACCACCATAGAGTATCTCTTCATTTATGTGTGTTCATCTTGTGTCTGGAGTAACAACCTTGTATTTAATTCTTTCCTGGATATTATTCAAGTTACTCTGCTAATCTAGAATGTGGGTGGTAAGAGGAAGACGGGCTTGGTGTGATGAGCAACCACTCCCACTGGGAAATGATAAGAAGCACTGTTTAGTTCACATTCATTTTTCCTCCCATCCAATATTATGCCATTTGGAATTTTTGAACCCAAACATGTCAGAATCAAAGCACGCTCTTACAATGTAAATGTAAAATATTTAGATGGATATAGCTAGTTCTGAGGCTGAGCTTAGATCTGCAGACGCATAACAAAATGACTTTAAAAACTGTTTCTTAGAGTTCCTGTAGGATGTTTCTATCTGGACACTGTGCTAAAATATGGCTTGTCCTTCTTTCTCCGCGTTTTCAAAACCTGGAGGATTTTAAAAGTTTAATAGTAATAAAACATCCACTGGCAGAATGATTAGATACAATTCTTCACTCAGAGCAGGAACTACCTCTCCTAACTTCCTCCTTGCACTTTTAATAACTTTTCAGGCATACTGATTTTGCATGTCAGAATCCATCAGCACAATGAGCTAGGTTGCATGTGTCTCTCCTCAAGTTTCTGGGCCCATTTGGAGATGTGGAGCATGGACAGTAAGAGACAGCCATTTATCCTGCACCATTTTTTGGGGACAATTTGAAAGTAGCCCTAATCCTTTATTCTTGGCCTTAATTCAAGATGTGAGATCCTCAAAAGTCTTGGAGAGCAAGTTGGAAGTTCATTCTAGGAGCTGTCTAAGCTGCCATCATACTTCAGCCATGCAATTTGAGTGTGCCAAATGAACCTCCCAAAACCTTGAGCTTCCATCAGCTTACCCTCCTTCCACCCTAGGCATGTAAAATGGATGTCCACACAAGTGATTATGAAGTGATTGTTGTCAGGAGACAAATCCTGTTCAGGATGCACACGGCAGCTAACTTCATATGTGGAAAACAAGTAATCCCTTACAAGCTTTTACAATATCATGTTTGAATTTTTTTTCAGGTGGTTGAATTTTGCACAGAAAAAACCCACAACACAGAAGCCCCAAACCTACAGAACAAAATGTGTAACCACAGGAGCACATGGGATGTAATCAAGGAGTCTGCTGATTTTCAGAATGCCTCTCCCATGATAGGAACAGAAACACCGCCTCCACCTACATTTTCATTGCTGAAGTCCAAGCAGAGAGTAGTCTGCTTGGTGCTAGATAAATCTGGAAGCATGGGCTCAGTAAGACACCTTTTACTGGATTTCTTAAGTTAAATATTAAGTAATTAAATATACAACTACAATTTGTTCTTAGGTTTAGTTCTAATAAACTAATATAAGTATTCATGTTCAAATAAATATATATATACACATACATATGTATATATATATATGTTCAAATAAATATATGCCTAGTGATTTATCTAAATTAATACCTAAAATAAGTTATAAAAATGTATTGTTTATTAGATTATTAGTCATTTTTACCTCTTAACTTTCAGTTCTTACTAGGAAAAAAAGTACAGCAAGAAGAAAAACCTACAATTTCACCACTCAGTGTATCATTCCAGTTTTATTATTATTATATTTGCTTTTCCTCTACAAAATTGTTATATTGTAAAGATTTTGTAATCCAACTTTCATAGACAATACAGTAAGCACTCCTCATGAAAACCAGAGTCATGCAAAACAAATTGTATGTGTGAGAGAGAGAAAGAGAGAGTGCTGTGTGTGTGTGTGTGTGTGTGTGTGTGTGTGTGTGTGTGTGTGTGTGTGTGTTTTGCTGGCAATTGTACCTAGGGCATTTTACATGCTAGGCAAGCATTTTCACACTAGATAACTTGGGCTCCTTCTTTCTTTGTTTTGAGACTCCATCATGCTATGGATCTGTAGGTGGCCCTGTGTTCACTTTGTCACTGAGACTGATCTCAATCTTCTGTCATTCCACCTGCCTCAGGCACCCAGGTGCTTGCACTGCAGGCATGTAGGCCCATCTCCATGACATAAATTATAAATATTTTTGACATAACTTCATAACGTGTATATTTGAACATACTCACTCCACCACCCTGTCTTGTCCCTTCTCTCTCCATCTCCCCACTATTTTGATGGGTGTTATAGTAATAACTCACTGGATATAGAAAGCATAAGCAATTTATCAATGACTATGTGTGGAGAAATATGAACTCCCTTCCAAGAAGCCACTAACTACCCCATAGTTCCTCATGAGCCTTCCTCATCCATACTGAAATGTTGATGGACTTGATCTTGTCAGATGACCACAGCTGCTAAGGGTTCATGAGTACAATGACCTTGTCACACCCCAGAGAATGGTGATTCATGGATCCCGGTCTTAAGTTCTTTCAACCTCCTCTCCTGCCATGCTTCTAGATCTCTGGGTAGGCAGGAACTATATGTTCCATTTAGGGTTGATCTATCACTCAAAATTCATTGATTCTCAGGACTTTGACCAGTTGTGTCTCTGAATTAACCACTTCCCTATGCAAAAAATGCCTCAGTAAATAACCAAGAAGGTAAGGTTATGAAGGAAGCATTAATCCATGCATATAAACCTGTTTAGAAGGCAAAATGTACATACTGGATATGTGTACTTGGCAAGCTGGCAGTAGGTGCCCTATGATCACCCTAGCCTTGGGCTCATGGCCATTTTGCAGTAGGAAGCACAAATTCTGTCTTGTGGACAGGGCCTCATATCTAATCACAAAGCAGATGATTACACCCCTAATAGTCATGTGACTGTTACACCAGTGGAAACACACTATTTGGCAGGGTGGTGTTGGAGTACTCTGGAGCCACCATTGAATAAGACCATGTTTGATTTCTTTTTATTTCCAGGGACCTATATATTCCTGACATATGAAAGCTATACAACAGAGAACATGCTTCTTGCCTGTCTTCAGTTTTATTTATCTGGGTCCTACAACTGATGTGTGTTGACTAGTTCTGGAGGCAGCCAAAAGCAATAATAATGACCTATGTTGTTTTTGGAGAGGGTTAGGAACCTCCTTTGTCAGCAACTCACAAGGAGGTATCCCACACTTCTCACTGGAGTTTATAATAACCTAGGCCTTCAGGGACAGTGCCCTGTCACGAGCTAACAGTTAATGGTCTTATAATGTGAACAATGTTCCATAATCTACTCAGATAATCCCTTATTAACAGACAATTTATGGACATTCATTGTGTTACTTTTAAAAAACAACATTCCAATGAGCATCTTTTTATGCAATTTAAAAATTAATTGTCAGGTGAAACTTGCAAATAGATAACTGTTCATAAACTGGCTTAGACTTTGAAGGCTTTCACAGTCACATTTTAAACTTTTTAATAATACAAAAGAGCTAAAGTTGAAAAGGTCCATTAATTAATCTCATGTTTTCTGGCCCAATAATGACTATGTCTTTTATTAATCTGTCAAGATTAATCTAGAAACTTTTTCTTACAGGAAGACCGTCTTATTCGAATGAATCAAGCAGCAGAACTTTATTTAACTCAAATTGTTGAAAAGGAATCTATGGTTGGATTAGTCACATTTGACTCAATCGCCATAATCCAAAATTATCTCACAAAAATAACTCATAGTAGTGACTATTCAAAGATCATTGCAAATCTCCCACAACAAGCTTTGGGAGGAACTTCAATTTGCACAGGACTTGAAGCAGGATTTCACGTAAGCATTTAAAGTTAATATAATTTGCCATTTACTTATTGCTTCTCACCCTATTCATTTAGCTTTGAACATGGGTCATGAACTCAGGGTTCCACCATCTAATAACACTCTGATCTGAATTAGACAAAGCATTTCTGGAAGAAAAAAAGGTAGCTTCACCAACTACTACTTACAGGCACAGCCTCTCAGTGTCCAGTACTCCCATTGATAAAATCTTGCCATGCAGTGACATTGGGGAGTGGCAGATGTGAAACCTCCTTTGATAAACGATCGTCAAAACCGCACTGAGGAGCTACACATGTCTCTGGGACTCTCACAGATAGTTTCTATGCATGGGAGATAATGCCTTGAACGCAAAGGAAGAAAACAGTGACAACTTTATAGCATGGGTAAAAATCCTAACACACTAATTTAAATTACATTTAAAAATCCAAAGATAGAGGTAACTCCACATATATTATGCAATGAACATAGGCAGATATAAAGCAAACTTATGATTGTGAGCTTAAACATGAAGAGTTCCTTTAGACCAGTGTACTCAGAGGTTATACTGTTCATCTAGTTTTCTTCCACCAAGTCAGCCTCCATGCTAAGGTATGTATGGTCATGTTTGAGCCACTGAAACTGAAGACCATCTCCTCCACTTATCAAAGTCATCACTGAAGCTCTATGTAGACCATTGGCTCACAGTCTCCTTAACTTACTGTGTGACTCCAATTTCTCAAAAACAAGATTGGCTTTAGAAACCTGAGGTACCCACTCTACTGTGAATTACCTAAAATGTCTGGAGAGTAACTCAATATTCAGAATCGTTTTCCTGAAACAAGATGATATGGGTATCACTATTGTTTACCTCATTGAAGTTTGGCAAATATGTAAGGTTAGTAAATGTTTCCACAAGTTTTGCTATTATGAAAATAATTTTCATATGTCTATTTGGGTCTAAAATATGAGTACTATATATTAGAAATATATTCAGATGATTAAATAAATTGCTATATGGTTTTCTTAGTAAAATTTATTATATCTTATATATTTATGTTTATTGCTCAACAGATGATGAAAAACCATATTCATCATTGTAAACAGCTTTTAGTGAAACCTTATCAATACTTAAGTGTTATCACTCTCAAAATCATTAAAAAGTAGCTATGTGTTGACGGTATACAACCTTACTCCCTGTGGTACATGCTTTAGATGAATAATCTTTTTTTTAACCATTTCTTTTTTTCTTTACCACTTTTATATTTATTTTTCTTTCTTATCCCAGTTCCCTCTCGTTCCCTACCTTCCTCCCTCCCTCTTGCGCTCCCCCCCCCACATGCACCCTGACCACTCTCCCCTCCCATCCCACCACACACACTCCACATGTAAGGTGATGCCCTCCAGGAGGGATCATCTAAATCTGTCAAGTTATTTGAAGTAGGAACTAGGACTTCTCTTCTGTCTCTATATTAAGATGCATGATCTTGTACCCTAATCATTTTAGGAGTTGGGTAGTGTTACTGTGACCATTTTTCACCCCCCCAGAAAAAGCTGAACTTTAAAATAACGAAATCTATCTCAAGATTATAAGACAAATTTAGGATTCAAAACCTGAGCTACAGAATCTATACATTTGATGGTTAAACTAACAATCTGTAGAGTGAGTGTGTGTGTGTGTGTGTGTGTGTGTGTGTGTGTGTGGTGTATTTGGGAAAATCTGAGAAAAGACTAAACGTAATAATTCATGATTAGAAAATAGAATTTATATTCAAGGTACCTAAACCCAAAGTACCTGACACATAGACTCTTAACTAATACTCTTGGTAGGAATGACCAAGAAAATATGTAATCCAATTATACTTGCAAATTTGTTAACTTCTTCATTTATGATAAGCCAAGGCTGTTTTGTTTTGCTTTCTTTCTAAAAATCATACAATTCTTTAGGAGTAACTAAACAAAATGCATCAGAGAGTCACATAACAAATATTTCCATCTTGATCAAACAACTGTGGTCATGATTTTGAAAATGCTATTCAGCATAGCCTTCTACAGCTGCCTGGGAGTCTCAAGTCTTCATCAAGTATTCACTGGATGATAACAACAGCTTATATTCACTAAGTAGCTACTATGTGCCAGCAACTGTTACTGATTTGTTACACCTCAACTAGGTAACCAAAATGAATATATGTAGAGGATTAAAGGCACTGAGAAATCTAATGTTCTACGAATTTCCATGTATCAATTAAACTTAGGAAGAGGATATAAACGCTATGTGTGCTCTTAAATTTATACAGGAGGGACAGTCTGTAATTAACACAGTTTTTTACAGGCAATCTCTTCCAGTGACCAGAGGACTTCTGGTTCTGAAATCATATTGCTAACAGATGGGGAAGACAGCCAGATCAGTTCATGCTTTGAGGAGGTCAAACGCAGTGGTGCCATCATCCACACCATCGCTCTGGGGCCTTCTGCTGACAAGGGACTGGAGACCCTGTCAACCATGACAGGTACGACTTAGGACAGATGTTCCTAAACTGGCAGCTGTTACCATTTGCCATCTTAAAGTTAATTTTTGTCTCTTCCTTGATCTCCAAGTTCTTTCCTCTTTCTCCACTTCTTCATATAATGACTTACGTTGTTCAGTGCCTGCTGTTTTCATTCATTCTTTATCCATTTTCTATTCATCTCACTAAACAGAAGCTTCTGTCTCTATGGTTACTCAAAGTCGAAAATGTTTGCTCACGCACATACACACACACACACACACACACACAGAGAGAGAGAGAGAGAGAGAGAGAGAGAGAGAGAGAGACTAAATGTAATGTCTAATAATGAAAATGAAGTGTCACGTGTATTTTAAAGTGCATTGATGATAACAATCTCCTTTCCCCATTTAGGAGGCCTTCACTTTTATGCCAATAAAGATGTAACTGGCCTTATGGATGCCTTCAGTAGGATTTCATCTGGAAGTGGAGATATCTTGCAGCGGGCACTGCAGGTCAGCACTTTGCAAAATACTTCGGTTGCTATAAACTTCTATTATGCTACTATTACATGGTCTTTCTCTAATAAATCATTCCATTGCCATGAAAAGTGTTTCCAAAATACACCATTAGTGAATTTTCTTTTATATGACATAAACACCTTTTCTCTTGTATTTTCTGTGTGTGTGTGTGTGTGTGTGTGTGTGTGTGTGTGTGTGTGTGTGTAAAGTGAACACCTGTTAAAGTTAATTTTTGTCTCTTGCTTGATCTCCAAGTTAAGTTCTTTCCTCTTTCTCCACTTCTTCATATAATGACTTAAGTTGTCCAGTGTCTGCTGTTTTCATTCATTCTTTATCCGTTTTCTATTCATCTCACTGAACAGAAGCTTCTGTCACTATGGTTACTCAAATAAAGTCAAAAATGTTTGCTCAACCCCAAAATACCACTCAATCCCACAGCAAAGATTTAGACATGTCAGGATTCAGGTGAGGTGTGTGTGTGTGTGTGTGTGTGTGTGTGTGTGTGTGTGTGTGTCTGTGTGTGCTTGCATGCATGCTTGCGTGCCTGTGTGTGTTAATCAGGCAAAGATGTGTTGCACTTGTTCATGTTGATTTGTTAACAAAATGTGTTACATTTGCCTTAACCTGGGCTCAATCAGGTGGGTTAGCAATTGCTGGACAGGGAGTAGCAGGGAAGAGCTTAGCATGGGATTTTCAGTTGGGGCTTTGTAGAGGAAGTAGCTTCCAGGACCCCAGCAAAGAGAGACCAAGAGACAGTTGCTGTTCTAATTCTCTGAGCTCACAGGTCTTCACCCCAGCCTTTGAATCTTATGTTTTATTAGAACTATAAAGAATCAGCTAGAACTACCTTTAATGGCAGCACAGAGCCATTGTCTAAAGAAACAGAATTGCCCCCAGTCCATAACCTTGGGTGGCTGGTCACTAGGAGTTTAAAGCACAGCCTCCATAAGAAGGTAAACAACATGTGAGTGAATAAGAGAGAGAGATTTGGAAAATGTTTTAATTCTTTGTCACTGTAATTGAACCTTAAACATTAATTTCAAATTACCATGAATTACCAAAGTATTATAATTCCATTTCTTAAACTAACAAATGAGTTTTATCTGTTTTCTTTTTATATCTTTAACAGTTGGAGAGCAAAGCCTTGGATATTGCAGGGAGAAAGCAGATAAGTGGTACAGTACCTGTGGATGGTACCATTGGAAATGACACGTTTTTTGTTATCACCTGGACAGTACAAAAGCCAGAAATTAGTCTTCAAGATCCAAAGGGGAAAAAATACACAACCTCAGACTTCAAAGATGATAAGCTAAATATTCGCTCTGCTCGACTTCAAATACCAGGCATTGCAGAGGTAAGTGGTGTGGGTTTTTTCACTGTGTTCCCTTAATCCATCTCTTGTTAAGAAATAAAGACACGTTGCCTTACCAGTAATAAAACTGTGACAGCGTAGTTTTCATTAGAAACTAGGTAGAATATCTAAGCTTTCATATCTATGTTACTGATTCTTTTTAACAATCATATTAAAAATCATTATTGAGATTAGGAATGCAAGTCTCTACTACTAATAGGATCCTTGTTTAGCATTCATGAACCCTGGGTTCCATAGCAGGTCCCTCAAACCCCCCCCCAATTTTTTTTATTTTGTTTAAATTTCCTAATAATTGCACATCCCAAGTAGCAGAAAAGTTTTATCAAAGCTCTTAAAACTTTTTTCCAGACAGGTATTTGGACTTACAGCCTTATAAATAAGAACGCCAGATCTCAGTTGCTAACAGTGACAGTGACCACTAGAGCGAGAAGTCCTACCACACTCCCAGTAATCGCGACTGCTCACATGAGTCAAAACACAGCACAGTACCCTAGCCCGATGATTGTTTATGCACGAGTCAGCCAGGGCTTCCTGCCTGTTCTGGGAGCCAGTGTCACAGCCTTTATAGAAGCTGAAGATGGACATCAAGTCACACTGGAGCTCTGGGACAACGGGGCAGGTAATGGGGACCTGAGTCTGCACCACTGAGTTTACATTCTCCTGCCGGATTCCTTAATTTCTAAGTCAATATTTTCTTAATGTACTTAAAATCTACTAGAGTAATGATGTCTTTAAAATATTTCACTTGGTTACCTTGACAAATCAAACCTAGACATTTATTTTGACTCGAGTCCACTATCAATTTCATGTTTCACGTGGAAATTAAAAGCACAAGTTTTCTATTTTCATTAATGTTAGCATTATGTTTATGCTTTCTCCATCTGGTTATATTTTCTTTGTTTTGGCCAACTTCCTTTGTAATAGTGTCCGTGCTTATAGGCTTTGCATACAAGCATATTCCATACTGTCCATATCCCCTCCTATACCTCCTCTCTCTCTTGCTTCTCCCACTAGTGGTCTCCATTACCCTGGCTCAATTACATTCGTCTATATAAAATCCAGTAGCCACAAAGTAGAGAAAATATGGGGGTTTGTCTGTGTATGCTCAAAATGGCAATCTCAACTTGTATCCATGTTCCTGCAGGTGACATAATAGCATTCTTCCCTGTGCGGTAGAACACTCTGTTGTGTATGTGTACCACATTCCCTCTATCCATTCATCTTTTGACACCACCTGGGCTGATTCTGTAGCTTGGCTATTGTGAACAGTGCTGAAATAAACATAGACATTCAAGTGAAGTTCTTTGGATGCATCCAGAAGAGTGATATGGATGGATCATACAGTCATTCTATTTTCAGTTACTGATTCCTATAGGGACTCAACTAATATACAACTCCAAAAGTGTTGTATAACACTTTTCTTTGCTATACACACACACACACACACACACACACACACACACACACACACCACATATCCTGTCAGTGTTTTTTGTCATTTGTCTTCTTAATAATAAATATTCTGACTAGGGTGAAATGACAAGGTTAAAATGGAATCTGAACGTATTTTTAATTTGCATTTCCGTGATGACAAGGATACTGGACACTCTTCATATTCTCAATGGATGTTGGTACCCTATCTTTGAAAACTCTATGTTCACTTCACCGGCCCACTTATTGAGTTGCCTATTTTGCTAGTTTTTAAACTATTTATACAATATAAATATCCATCCTATCAGATTATACCTGCCAAAGATTTTCTAGCATATAACAGGCCACACTTGCTTGTATACTATACAGAATTTTTTATATTTCATGTCTCTTTGTCAGTTCTTGGTTTTATTACCAAGTGATTAGCGTTCTTCACAGGAAGTCCGTTTGCCTATGCTTACATCCTGTAGCATTGTCCTCTAACAGACTGAGAGTTTCAGATCTTGCATTAAGGTGTTTGATCTTCTCAGAACTGATTTCATACGAGACAAAACTAGTGTTCCTGTTTCATTCTTCTACGTCTATCTGTCCAATTTCCCCAGTACTCTTTATTGAAGAGGCTATCTGTCTTCAATGTGTATGTTTGGCATCTTTGTCAAAAATCACATGGTTTCAGTGTGTGGGTTAATGCTATGTCCTGTGTTCTAGTTACTGGTCTGCATGTGTCTCTTATGTCAGTAACATGCTGCTGCATTACTGTGGTTCTGTAGCATGACTTACAAGGCATGCTGATGTCACCAGCATTGTTCATTTTATTCTGGAGTGGTTTGGCTATTCTGGCTCTTCTGCGTTTCCATGTGGATTTTGATATCATTTTCTCTATTTCTGTAAAGAATGTCTTTGGATTTTTATTGGAATCACATCAATCTGTAGATTGCTTTTAACTATGCAGCCAGTTTCATAGTATTGATTCTGCTGATATATAAACACTGAAGGTGTTCCCAACTTGAAGTGGTTTTTCTTTATTTTCTTTTTTTATTTTTTATTTTCCAATTTCTTCCAGTGTTTTGTTCCTGGATATCTTTTAAGGTATTAAAAAATAGCATTGATGTCCCGATTTCTTTCTCAGCCTGATCATTATTGGTTATGTGGGGAAAGTACTGCCTTTTAATCAGTAATAACTGCACTCAGATTAGCCTCATTCTCACAAGTCTGTGGTTGCACAAAAGTTGGCTGCTGATTTTTTTACATTGGTTTTGTAATCTACTACTTTGCTGAATATCTTTGTCAGTTCTAACATTTTTCTGGACAAGACTCTAATATGAAATAACTGAGTGCCTACTATAAATTACGTTTTCTAAAATAGCATAGTTAGCACACAGTCAAGCTAGGCATTGAATCAAAATACTATGGTCTAGGGATTAAACTGTCCTATACTTCTGATAAACTCATAGAAGTAGTGCTTGTGAACAGTGTCAATCTTCATCTTAAGCTACTGCATCTCTAATTGTTGTGTTTCATTATTAAGGTGCTGATACTGTTAAAAATGATGGCATCTACACAAGATATTTCACAGATTATCACGGAAATGGGAGATACAGCTTAAAAGTACATGTCCAGGCAACAAACAACACAGCCAGACTAAGTTTAAGACAAAAGAACAAGTCTCTATATATACCTGGCTATATTGAAGATGGTAAGTAGCATTAAAATCAAAATATGTCACCTGTTTCAGTAAATTATATAAAATAAACACTGAAGGGGATACTATATGTAGAAATCCCAAGTATGTAATTATGCAATCAACTTTGGAATTCAAAATAAGATTTGTATAGGTGGACCCAGCATAAACCATGTTTCCACATAATTTGTTAACATTTCCCTCAGTTTGCTTCAGCTACAAAATACATTTCCTGTGTCATGGAACAAGCTCTGTGTTAAATGCTAGAGCTAAAGAGTTGAATCAATCCCTGTCATCAAAGAACTCATGCAAAAGCAGTAGGTCACAACAGGTTAAATGTTAGTTTTAACATATTTTAAAGTCATACATGAAGAAGCTTTTCTCTCACTTTTCAATGTCTGTCATCAAACAACATGTGCCCTGAACAGCTGTAAGCTCAGCTTGAGATAAAGGACAACAAGAAAGATACAGAAGTCTGGGGGTGTTTTTCATAGGTAAAATTATAATGAATCCACCCAGACCTGAAAGCCAAGAGGCAGAATCTGCAGTGGAAGACTTCAGCAGACTAACCTCTGGAGAGTCGTTTACCGTGTCTGGAGCGCCTCCTGGTGGTAACCACGCTCATGTGTTCCCACCCAGTAAAGTCACAGATCTGGAGGCTGAGTTTAAAGGAGATGACATTCACCTGACATGGACAGCCCCTGGTATGGTACTCGACAAAGGAAGGGGTAAGCTTGGCATTGAATTTTAAAGATTTCAGAGTGGGTCATATGCAATAAATTAAATTATTGACAGCATTACATTTTTGTTAGATGCTGCAAAATTTGTTGCCAGGAAATAATTCCAGTGCGTTGTTCAGCAGGGTCTGTAAGGGAACACACACTACAAATAAGAGTGATATGCACAAGTGTTTATTTAAAAATAAAAAATAAAGTATCCTCAGTGAAATTGCATTGCCTTTCTTTCCCAAAGTTTTTCCAATGTCTCCTTATAATAATATTTATGGAGTCTCTACTATAGGCCATTATTCATTTATTTTTAATGTAAAAACTGAACTTCAAGGAAGTTGGAGTTAGCCAGAGCTGTCCCTGTATTTTTATCTTAAAGTTATGAAAATCGGTCTTTAAAGATTTGTGTCGCCCCTCCCCCACCTCCCACAGTGTCCTCAGCGATCAAGAGCATGGCTGTTTGCTCTCAGGACTCAGATCCCATTCCCAGCACCCACAGCAGCTCCCAACCACCTGCCACTCCTTCACATATGCTCATGGGGTACAGACATGCATGCAAGAAAAACACTCATGCACACAATAAAATAGCAAAGATAAATTTAAAAAATAGTAGTGGAGAGCAGTAACTTTGAGGCGCTGCTGAGGTGGGACTGGGTCCTGTGCGTGCCATCAGTGCTGCTCCGCCCTCTGTGTGCTTTGACCCACCCTCGGCTGTCCCCTTGTCTGTCACTGAGGGCCCCACCCCCACCCCATTTCTCCTTTTTCATCTTAATAAAAGTCACAGAAGACACTCACAGTCTTCACTGCTCGTGAGCATTGTGTGTTCCGTGTTCTAATTGAAAACTGAGTTCAGCTCTGTCGACGTGTTTATCAAAAGAAACCTGGATTCTGGGTGCAGGGCTGGTATTCATGAGAGCGAATTAGCTTTTCTGTGATTTTGTGACTGAACATGCTTTTAATTAGTGTTCATATACTCATCTTTAATGTCAGTGAGACAGGATAATCAGGCACAAACTATACCTGGGCTCTCCATCACTGAAGCTCAGCATGCTCCTCTGGTAACTCCTCAGGAGCAGTGTGTGTAGAGGCCCATCCTGCCTCTAATGAACACATGTCTGTCTCTTTTCCAGCACACAGATATGTCATCAGAATGAGTCAGCATTCTCAGGATCTCCAAGAAGGTTTTCACAATGCTACTGTAGTGAATACTTCTGGTCTGGTACCTAAGGAGGCTGGGTCAATAGAAAACTTTGAATTCAAACCAGAAACCTTGAAAATAGGAAAAAGCACCATGTTCTACATTGCAGTTCAGGCCATCAATGAAGCGAATCTCACTTCAGCAACCTCCAACATCGCACTGGCTGTCAAGTTTATTCCTCCACAGGAACCCAGCATCCCTGATTTGGGTACCAAAATGCCTGCACCTAGTTTGACAGTTTTTGTATTTGTTGCAACTTTATTCATATTTTGAACTGGAAATTACTGCAGAACTTAACTTCAATGTTATTTAGAATTTACTATTCTCATTGTCTATTATACAACTCTTCATAATATAAAGTGAATGTTTAATGTTGCAAATGTTTTAATTTGTGTCAATTAAAATCAATTAAGTTGTTATGTAGAAACAGTAGTATTTCCTTAATCTTACTTTGGAAAGGATGAATTAAATGGAACAACTCATTTTCCAAATATTAGTATAAAAAGCCTATTTGTTACATATGTGAATTTATAAAAATGAATGCACAAGGAGACAATATAAACCTCAAAAACAGAAAATTATGTCTGTTTGCAGAGTAAGTCAGAAATAAAATAAGAAAGAAAGAAACATGGACTGGTTTCCATAGAGCACTAGGAAACTAACTCAATATAAAGACAAGAAAACAGTGGTATTCTGTAGGCAGTTCACACATACGGGTGAATCCAAATAGGAAAAGCCCTCCAACTTAAAGGTATATTTTAAAATCAATCTTTAAAAGGAAAGAAATATCAAGATAGCATTGAGATTATAAAAATCTTTTAGGAAAAACCTAGCTAGATAAGGGGTACCTGACTGTGATCTCAGCAATTAGTTATCAAGGAGGGAGGATCATAAGTCAGCATAAGCGAGACAGCCCAGGATGCAAGAGCCTGTCTGCAAAAAGAAAACTTTTAAATCTGATAAGGCATTACTAAATGTTCTCTGCATTTTTAAATTAAAAATAAAAATATGCACAATAAATAAGTAGGCAAATTGTTGTATTGATCTCTTTTCTGCTACACAACAGAACACTTGAGAATGGGCAACATATCAAGGGAAGCGGTTTTGGAGACTGAGAAGTCTGACATTGGAAGGCAGCCTCTGGCCAAGGCCCCCAGGACAAGCACGGGCCTCTGGGAGAACAGTGGATGAGAAACACATTCCTGTGACAGCCCACCTTCCCAGGGGCTAAGTCATCCCCGAAAGAATGACTGCAGGCAAAGGCTCTGCAGTCACAGCACAATCCCTTCTCAGCATAATTTCAAGATGGGTTTTAGAGAAAACAAGCCATATTCAAGCCATACCAAACTGAGTATTGCCTAATGTTTAAAAAGACAGTCTTTTTCTCATACAAAATCTATCAAAGCAGTCACATTCTCTTGAATCTTTGGCTGAGAACTGATGGGAGATGTCATTCTGTATATGTTTCTCATACTGGTTAATGAATAAAGCACTGTTGCCCAATAGAAAAGGAAGATAGGAGGGACTAGGAGACAAAGAGGAAAGAGGAAGTAGTAAGGAGGAGCCAAGATGGAGAGTCTGGAGAAAGCAGTATGCTGGCCGGCTCCCCGGTAAGAGAAATACATAGATCAGCAGAAATGGGTTAATACTTAAGACAGAGCCGATAAGAAACTAGTACCTGACCAACAGAATTGTACCAAATACAGAGTCTCAGTGTGTTATTTGGGGCTGGCGCTGCGGCGGGACCAAAACCAGGTGGCGGGCGGGAAAATAATACTCCTTACAGAGAACTACTGTTTAAATGGAAACAAAAGGAACTACTCTCAAGTGATTTTCAAGTTTAATCTTCTCCGGTTGTCCTTTTGAAACATATCATGTGTTGTATGTCATTTTCAGACAGACTGGCATGTCAGGCATAAAGACACAAGCCTTTAATGCCAGCTCTCTGGAGGCTGAGGCAGGCAGACCTCTGCTGAGTTCCAGGACAGTCAAGACTATTTAGTGAGACCCTTCCTTGAAGAAAAAAATTAAATGAAGCTGAATGACCAGAGATGAAACACAAGGTTGTCCTGTCCGTAGCTGTTACCTAGGACATGTCCCTGCCTCGGCCTTCAGATGCCTTGTACGCATCTGTAACCTAGGACATGTCCCTACCTCGGCCTTCAGATGCCCTTCACCCCAAAGGCTTCTTCCTGGTTCTCTTGCCCCTGAGAAATTGTTCTCTGCCTCTAGATTCACTGTTGCTGTGCTATAACTCTCTACAGAACTTTTTCACTCCATTATGTACTTTTTAATATTATTTTATTCCAAATTAATCCATAAAATGAGTCTTCATGTCCTGTAGAGGCAATGCCATGCTGACTCCATTCTGTACTCATACAGAGAGCTGGGATGCGTCACAGATCAAAGAGGAGCAAGCTCATCTTCTTCCTTGTGGGCAAACAGCATCAAGATTTACTGGTGTTACAGGACGAGGGGACACATGCTGGGTTTTTATTATTATTATTATTATTATTATTATTATTATTATTACTGTTATTCATTCATTAACTTAGCTATTTATTTTTCATGTTGATTTTGGCTTTTTTTTTTAAGATGGTCTCACTACATACATGATCCAGCAGTGTAGGCCAACAAATGCTTCACAAATAATTTTATTTAACTTTTGCAATGTTCCTCTTCGAAAGACTATTGGGCTAAAGTGATGGCTCTCCAGACTCTCCATCTTGACTCCTCCTTACTACTTTCTATTTCCTCCTTGTCTCCTAGTCCCTCCTATCTTCCTTTCCTATTGGCCAACAGTGCTTTATTATTAACCAGTATGAGAAACATATATACATAATGGCATCTCCCATCAATGGTCCTGGAAGCCAGGAGAGAGACCCTCAATGGATGAGCTATGGTCCAAGTTGGCAAAAGAGATACCCTCAATGGCCGAGCTAGGGTCCAGGAAGCCTGGAGAGAAACTCTCAGTTCCCAAGTGAGGGGCCTGGAAGCCAGGAGAGAGACCCTCAGTGCCCAAGCAAGGGACCCTGAAGCCAGGAGAGATACCCTCAATGGCTGACCTATGGTCCAGGTTGGCAGAAGAGAGACCCTCAGTGGCCAAACTATTGTCCAAGAAGCCAGGAGAGATACCCTCAATGGCTGAGCTATGGTCCAGGAATCCAGAAGAGAGGTCCTCAGTGGCCGAGCGAGGGTCCCAGAAGCCAAGAGAGAGAGTCTCAGCAGCTGAGGGGGCAACCTGGAAGCCAAGAGAGAGAGAGAGAGAGAGAGAGAGAGAGAGAGAGAGAGAGAGAGAGAGAGGTCATCAGCAGCCAAGCAAGTGGCCCAGAAGCTGGAAGAGAATGAGAGGTCTTAGGTTGTGAAGTTTCCATGGCTGAGAGAGCAGCCCATAAGCATCCACAGCAAGGGCTTCCAGAAACTATCTTAAGAAATGCCTTTGGAACAAGATCTCCTTAGTAAATTTGGGAGGATGGTGTTCAGAGCAGTTTCCCACCAGCCTGGTCCCACATCTGTGTCAGCCCCAAATAACACACAGAGACACTATATTAAATACAAAACTGTTGGCTTGTTACTAGCATTTCTTATTGGTTAGCTCTGTCTTAAATAAATATTAACCCATTTCTATTAATCTAAGTGTTTCCACGTGGTCTTATCTTACCAGAAAGAGGATCCGGACCTCTTCTCTCAAGTCCCTACATCTTGACTCCTCTCTACTATACCTCCCAGAATCCTCCTTGTCTCCTAGTCCCGCCTATCTTGCCTTCCTATTTGCCACAGTGCTTTATTTGTTAACCGATAAGAGAAACATATTTACAGAATGACATTTCCCATCAGGATGGGAGAGGGGAAGGGAGAAGAGAGAAGAGAATGAGGGAAGAGAACAGGAGGAATCAGAAAGGTTGAGTTGGGGTAAGGATAGAGAGGGAGAGCAAGGAAAAAGATACCTTGATAGAGGGAGCCATAATCGGGTTAACGAGAAACCTGGCACTAGGGAAATTCCCAGGAATCCACAAGGATGACCCCAGCTAAGAATCTAAGCAATAGTGGAGAGGCTACCTTAACTGTCCTCCTATAATGAGATTGATGACTACCTTAAATGCCACCATAGAGCCCATCCAGTAGTTAATGGAAGAAGCACTGAACTGAACTCCTGGAATCCAGTTGTAGAGAGGGAGGAGTGATGAGCAAAGGGGTCAAGACCAGGCTGGGGAAACCCACAGAAACAGCTGGCCTGAAGAAGTGGGAGTTTCCGGACTCCAGACTGGCAGCTGGGAAATCAGCATAGGACTAAACTAGACCCCTTGAATGTGGGTGACAGTTGGTGTCTTGGGCAGTTTGTGGAGCCATTAGCAATGGAACCTGTAGTTGTCCTTAGTGCATGAACTGGCTTTTTGGAGCCCATTCCCTATGGAGGAATACCTTGCTCAGCCTAGATACAGGGGGAAGAGCCTTGGTCCTGCCCCAAGTGATGTGACAGACTTTGTTGATTCCCCATGGGAGGCCTTACCCTCTCTGAGGAGTGGATGGGAGATGGAGAAAATGTGGGGAGAGGACTGGAGGGAGATGGAACTGGAATTGGTATGTAAAATAAGATTGTTTTAAAAATAAAAAAAAAATACAAAGAAAGCAGTGCTAAGAGGAAAGTTTATAGGATTAAATGCCTATGTAAAAAGCTAGAGAAATCCCACACTAATGAATTAACAGAACAACTGAAAGTTCTACAACAAAAAGAAGAAAACTCACCCAGGAGTCAATGGCTGGAAATGATCAAATTGAGGGCTGAAATCAATAAAATAGAAACAAAGAAAACAAAACAAAAAATCATTGAGACAAAGAGTTCTTCAAGAAAATCAGTAAAATAGACTAACCTTTATCCAAATTAACCAAAAGGCAGAGAAAGAATATCCAAATTATCAAAGATGGAAATAAAAGGGGGGATATAACAATGGACACTGAGGAAATGCGGAGAATCATCAGGTCATATTTCAAAAACCTATACTCCACAAAATTGGTAAATTCAAAGGAAATGGACACCATTTAACTTTGGTACCACATATCAAAGTTAAATCAGAACCAAACATACAAATTATACAAATTAAATATATCTATAACCCCTAAGAAAATAGAAACAGTTATCAAAAGACTCCCAATCCAAAAAAAAAAAAAAAAAGCCCAGGGCCAGATGGTTTCAGTATGGAATTATATAATTATACCAAACCACAGAAAGGCGCCAACTAAGAAAAATAATTACAGACCAATCTCCCTTATGAACTAACGAGGACCTCTGAGTGCCAGCCTCAAGGTTCT